GAAGATAAATGAAGGTCTGAATTATATGTGGAGTGAACCAACCCTGTATATTTTTGTCCATGGGGAAAAGTGTTCGTGTATTGTGGAGTCCACTTGGACCAAATAATGCACATGAGTTCAAATCTCGCCATTGAATCCACAACACAAATGCACAAGTGGACAGAGGTGGAATGTTTGATCGATTTTGTCTGAAAATGTTATGCGGGAAATTGAATGAAGTTTCAAAATGTCTCACGCCTTGAAAATGTGGCTGCTATCAATGTCAAATGCATGCATGCGCTCTGTCGTTTATCTAAATTGCCTGAACTTGAACGTCCGAGAATGTTGTGCCAGTCAAAACATACTTAAGCTCAAATCAAGGTTGCCCCAAATGTGTGCAAAATTGTTTATAAACCAAATCAAACTAATAAAGTTGATGCTTGAATGTGCTCTGCCACTTGTCTTAAGTTTTATGATCTTAATTATCTGTGAATACTGTGTGGGAAAACTTCATGTTTATGCTAAAATGAAATTTGTCTTGAGAAATATGTATGTACTTTAATTAAAAAAAAGTCTTATTTTCAAATATTAAATTGATAAATACATAATTAGACACACTCTCAGACGAGTCACCTTGTGTATAGGGTAAGATCGTAAATCCCACCCTTGACGAGTCCGACCCTCCTTCTCACAGTGGTTGAAGCTGACAAGATTGGGTCTTTCTCACTAAATCAATCTGATCCCCCTCCTCACTTCGAGTGTAGTTGAGATGATTAACATTTAGTAATGTTTGAATTGTACGAACATCAAATATCAATATTTCAAGAATTTCAAATATCACCTTGATGATGGCCATGTTGCTCGAGAATTTCAACCAGAAGGGTCTACCCATAAAATTAAAATTTCAAATCATAAAAGTTTAAAATATTTTAAATAAAACTAAAAAAACTAAAAGCTAAAGAGAAAAATATATCCACCCTCTACAATTATTTATCAGGATGAACAAATCTAGTGTTAACCTAAACTCACATGGAGTTAATTTCATGTCAAATATATTACTAAATTTAAACTCAAAATAAATTTGTGATTGCAAAGACGTGGCCTAAGTCCTCTATCCATGTGATTTTGCCACCAAACACACCTTAAGAAACGATTATGACCAAAGCCCTAGGACCTAATGATTTGTCGTCAAATGACTCCATTATATTATGATTACAGTTGTAGCTTGTATGGTTTCTAATAATATTTTTCTCCTTTAAGTTATGAATTTTAGAATATATTTGATAGGGCATGAAACCCTCTATCTTTAAGGTCGACTTAGAATAGTCCCCTTAGATAAATATCAATCTCAGGTCTATAGGTTTCCCTTAGACAAAGCAATCTATGATCGTTAATAAAGATCATTCTATTAGGTTGGGTTGACTAACCTTGTATGACTAAGTAGGCTAGAGGCCACTATAACTCGGAACAATGAAATCATGGGATCTTGATCAGGAGCTTCATCAATCCCCCCACCACGCACTCTAAGCTTACATTGATAATTAATTTCATAAATTAAAAATCCTAAATTTGTTGCCACTGTTCGCTAAGTTTGAATACATAATGTTTAATTGCTAGCCTTAATCGAAAGTGCTCTCCTATTATCGGGCGAATTAACTATAAGGGCTTATGTTTATGGGAAATCTCAAATCCCAAATCTTAAGTCCTTTTATAAATAAAATTTATGGGTAGTGTCTTATCTCTATCTCACGTGTCTTTTAAAAATTTTACCCAGAATCTCATGGTAAACTCCCTCATCTCATTCTCTCATTCTTTCTTCTTTGAGGAAGACCGAGGTATTTTGAATTTTTGGAGCCCATGGGCATCTTGGCCCGATAGAGAGGATTTGTCATTGCATTGAAAGGGTATGAGTATTCTCAAGTGAGGCATTCTCCATTAATTTTTCACCTAGTGGCTTGCAACTCTCATCTGATTGTGCTAGTACATGTAGTTAAATCATACATTGAAGTTGAAAAATTTCTTTAATAGACTCCTTTATCCTACACCCCTGGTCCTCTAAAGACAAACCTAAATCGTCTTCAATTGCAAGATAAATGCTTATGGAGGAGGAAAAAGGATTATACTTGAAATCTTAGACCCTAAGGTTATCCCTTAGAATGGAAAGCATTAGATCGAGAGGCTCCGTTATTACCAATATTACATTTATTGATCATTTAGTGATTGTCAGAAATTTTGTAAGGGTGGGAATGCTTTCCCATGGACGCTGTCAAGCTGTTGTGTGTTGGGAAAATTAACGTCATTTAGGTTGTAAATTAACATCTTAGCATTATATAAAATTTTAGCACACACAGATAAAAGAAAAGTCTATAGATGAAACTTCAAGATTTTTTATGTGAAAAACCTAAAAGGTAAAAAATCACGGAGCATACTCCAATTGAAGTTGTTTCACTATTTAAATGTATGTTATAATACTTTTTCTTGCACTTAAATAGTAGAAAATAATATTACAATGGAAGAAAATATTGTGGAAGTAATAGTGACCCAATTTTGATGATGAAAGATCTATGGTAGGGGTGCGGGAGATATCTTAATTTGCATATGACAATGGTCACAAGGCAACATTGATCCAAAAATATTAGTAGAAATAGCTAGATGATAATGATCTGATGATGATGATCTAACGTAGAGGTCTAGCCTGATAACAATTGCAACAACAAACCAAGAAACAATGATGATAACATTGATGTTGATCACATGACTATGGTCAGCTAGCTCATAAACGATAGCGGTTCAATGATAGGGATCAAAAGAAAGTGAGCCGACGAAGGTGATAATAGTTTGGCAATGGCAATGACAAATGCAACATCACCAAGGCAATGGTGGTCCAACTACAACGGTTGGGGGTCTAACAGTGTGGTCGGGCAACATTGATCTCACGATAATAGTAGCTTGGAGATAATGATTTGATAATGACAGTGGTGGTGTCAATAACACCTTTTGATTGACATTGATAGTTCAATGATTGCAACGGGTCTAACAATGTCGACTGGGTGATAGCGGTTTGATGGTGGTAGTGGCCAGGTGACGATGATTGAAATAATGTCATGGTATGGGTGATGATGGTTCGTTAATGTTGGAGTATCATGACAATAATGAGGGTGGCTAGATGATCACAATCTGGTGATAAATGATGTTGTATCGTAAGTGTAGTAGTATAATGGTGAAGGTGATGGTGGTCGAGTTACGATGATCCTACATAATGTTAATCAAGAGATGACAATTTGGTGACGGTGATGGTGGTAGTCCGACAATGATAGCGATGGCCAAACAATGATAGTTCAATAATGACATCATTGGCTCTGTGTCAGTTGATAATGGTGGTTTCATGGCGATTATAGTTTGGTGATGGTGGATCAACATGATGACGGGTGGACCGACGTAAACGATTTAGCACTGCAGTGGTGATCTGAAGATCTCATCCTAGGCGGAGTTATGACCTGATAACAGTGTTTTGACAATGGTGGCGACAATGGCTTGACATCATCCGAGGACAATGATTTGATGGTGGCAGCAGCTAATGACGGTGATTTGTGGACTGTGGCAACCTAGAGATGGTGCTACAACACACTTGTGGTGGGACGATGTCGGTCGAGTGATGGTAGTTCAATGGTGGTGGAGCACAAGAATCCTCAAAAGGTTGGAGCTCCATTCAATCTTTTCATTCTAATCCAAAACCTCTCACGAAGATAGTTGAGGTATATTTATAGATTTTAGGAGTGTCATAGTTAGTAAATATTGCATGAATCTTGACCACTTTATAAGAAAATCATAAGTGATTCCCTTAATCAAATAATGTTTTATGAGTATTTCAGTGTCTTATTATTCAATGTTAATATTATAAATACATAGAAATTGAGGGTTCATTTGGGACAACCTTTTAGTTGCTCTTCTCTCCAGCAATTAGTTTTGGAAAACTTCTTTCCTATGGCTTTTTAAAAATTACTAAGGTGGAAACATGTTTTTTTTTAACTTAACCTGTTAAATTGTGGAGATTGTCAAAAAACTACGATCTGACTTTTTAAAATTAAAATAGTTAATTTATAATAATCCTCACATTTTTTTTGAAAAACAGTTTCTTCTGCAGCAACCTCACAGCTGCCTCTTCAAACCAATGCAGCTGCCTCAAATAGACCCTAAATAACCAATATACCAAAAATTAAAATTTTGATGTTAGATATATGAAAATATAGAAATTGAGCGGTATGGATGTAAAACTTTTATCTTTTTTTTTTATTGATTCTTTTGGCTCCCTTATAAAATATTTTGCAAACTTAATCTTGGTTTATTGGTCATGGAGGTTTATGTATTTACATATCTTACACACAAACATTCATATTTGTATAGATAATATTTTAGTTTTTTAATGTGTATTTCACATTTTAAAAGATCTTATTAAAGCTTGAGTGCTATGTGTGTAAAAATAAAATTTTAGGTGTCAGATTTGTAAATACATAATAATTATGTGTCATGTATTTAAATGCCCCAACAAAAAATAAAAACACTCATTTTTTTCAATTTCTTATGGAAGATCTTTTTCTCCTAATAACTATCCTAAACTTTTTATAATAATTTAATATGTATATATTTTTATTGTTAATATTATTCTTTATTTATTGTATAATTAATTTTAAACTCAAATATAAAAAATACAAAAAAATTTAAACTATTCACTATATAAAAAATTATAAATAGAGAACAAATATCAATAACAAATATTATTATTATTATTATTATTATTATTATTATTATATATAGAATATTTAAACTATGAGAGGGGGATTGTGCCACGTGCCCCACGTGCCCCTCTGTCCACTTAGATCCTCTCGTCGATTTCTCTCGAAATTCGTTTTTTATTTTCTCCGTTGGGCTATTTTCTCATAAATTTTAGATAATTTGCCTAATTTATTTAATATAAACTAAATAAATAAATCCCAGACAGACCTACCACCGCCGCCAGCTCCATATAAACCCTAGCAAATTAACGGGAAGGACCCAACACCATTGACCGGGAAGCTTTCAGAGCCCGCAATGGCGGAAAAAGAAACCAACCGCGGTTCAGATCTACAGGCGAGCCTCCTGTCGAGCTCGGCCCTACAACCTCCTTCTCCAGCGCAGCGGCTTGCCATCGACGACATGCTCCGGCTGCACGCCGGAGAGTTCGGAAGATGGCAGCTGCGGCACTTCGTTCTGACAACACTCGCGTGGGCGCTGGAGGCTTTCCACACCATGGTCATGATCTTCGCGGATCGAGAGCCTGCCTGGCGCTGTAGGTTCGCTGGAGATTGTCCGCCGGAACAGTGCGGTATTCCGGCTGGCGCGTGGGAGTGGGTGGAGGGTTCCGCGGCTTCGACGGTTAGCGAGTGGGGGCTTATCTGCGGCCAGCGGTATAAAATAGGGCTTTCTCAGTCCGCTTTCTTTGCGGGTTGCATGGTTGGTAAGACGCCTTTCCTTTGCTCTTTTCGCGGCTGCCTTTCGGGGTTTACGGGGCGGTGTCCTGACTTTTCCGGCGAGGGTTTTCACGGTTAATGATTTTTTGTTTGCATTTACAAAAATACCCCTGTAATTTTTTACGTATTTATTTATGTACTATTTAAAATTTAGAGTTCTTAGATATTTATAACTCAAATTATTAAATATAATTTTTAAACCATTTAAGTTTTAACTGTAAAATTTTAACTTTATTTTTATGCTATAAACCGTCTCAAAATCAGGAACCATTGAGATAAAGTCACGTGAAAGTGATAAAAAAAAAAAAACTCTAAAATACATGAGAAAATTCTTCCCGTGTTGTTTCGTCTTATTCAGTTGTTATTGTGTTCTAAGAATATTTTCAGTATTATAATAAGACAATAACTCATTAATAATACTTGAATAATACATAATAATATCTGAATACAGGGGAGTAATATTTCTGGAGATTTTATTTTTATATTTTTTTGTCACCATCACATATTATTTGATTTGATTAGACATCACACATAATTGTATGTTTATTCAATTTCTCAGGATGCACGGATTTCAAAAATATTACATACATGCCACTCAAGTTTTACATATTTACATATAAAATATTAAAAGCTCAATTTTTATATAAATGCCATCTTATATATGAAAGTATGAATTTCATTTTTATTTTACACGTTAAAATGATAGTATATTTGGGTGGAATGAATATAAAAAAGAATACAGTGCTAAAATAATTCTGTTATTTTAAAATTGATTTTTAATATTATTTAGGAGACTATTTAAACCCAATTTAAAAAATATAAAATTATTTTGTCTCTTTTATAAATTTAAGGATTATAAGAGTTCCATTTAAACAATTGTGAATCATTTAGGCACCATAAAATAATCTTTAGATGCTAGATATCATTTGAATTAAGTGGTATGCATGTAAATGTCCTTTTACATTATATATATATATGACCCGAGAATAGTTGATGAGTAGTATTTTTAAAAAATTTAATTGACTACTAGGCTATAAAAATTTATAATCAATGAAAAGTATTAATTAAAAAATTTATAGTCAATTAAAAGTATTATTTAAAAAAGATATTATAGAAATTATTTAATTAGATTCAAATGATATTTTAAATTTTGCCCCGATCCTTAACATCTTATGACTACGTGATTAGGGTTGTCAAAACGACTCTTTGTTCGTGAACGGCTCGTGTTCGACTCGCTAAGCAAACGAGCTGAACACGAACACACTGTTTGATCTCAAAATATAAACGAGCTGAATACGAGTTGAGTCTGGCTCGCTTCTCGGCTCGTTTACACCCTAGATATGTCATAGGAATTAGTTGGTTTGTATGTAAATGCCCTTTTATAAATATGTATTAGGTGAATTTGATTGGACATTCTTATATCCCCAATATGCCTTAGTTGATACATACAAAATATATAAAATGTATCTTCTAGAGTTACATTTCAATTTGTATAGCTAATTGTCTAGTTAATTATTTAAAGAAAAATAAAAAATAATTAATAAAAGGGAGATAAATAATATTAAGAAATCATTAAGGGCCGTTAATTATGCACTGTTAGAATGAAACGATAAGCTGTGGTGGCCCACTTTTAATGACTTCTGGTACGAATAATAAAATTTTAATGGTGTAGTCAATAACTAATGTCATCTTCCATGCAACACATCAACAATATTCGCTTGTTTTTTTAAGGAATATTTACATAAATGCCACTCAATTCTTTTGTATTACAAGTCTAACACCTAAACTTTTTATTTTTACATATATGCCACCTTACCTGTTCATCAAAGAACTGAATTTCACTTTTTGAAAGTCAAAATAAAGATTTGGATGGCATGAATGTAAAAGTTTGGGTGTTATATATGTAAACAAATAAATTATGTGGCATATATGTAATTGCGCTGAATATTTTGAGGCTGCTTGATATAATTTTGGTCGACGACTGATGCTATCAATGCTTTGAACAAATTTGGCATTATTTAAATCCCACGCACGAGATTTGGATATATGATTGACTCTTACTTTATATATATATATATATAATAATATCACTAAAAGACAAGACAAAGGGATAATCTTTCTAAGTCCTCAATTAATTACTAATATAAAGTAGCTGTTTCGATTGATTAAGACAGAGCATATGTTAATTAAGAGAGAAATAAATTAGTGCATGTGCATCATGCTTGATTCTTTATATTTAAGAGGGAGGCAAAATTAATGATGTAGGGATGGCTATATACAAAGACTCAACGTTTGTAAGAATAGTTGAATTATTTAACTCTATTATTTCTACATCTCTAAACATGTATTGTTGTCTTATTAGTAATGTATCTACTAAAATAGGGTTTTTGGAGAGATCTTTTTTCGGTTGATTTCTTTGATGAATCTGAGACATTTTCTATCTACGGTTATCCTCGTACTCGGTCTCTTGTACTTGATCTTTCATGCTCAACTCAAGAGCGCCTTTGGATTTGCCTATCTGGGCGGCTTATACTTGAGGACGGACGATTGATATTTGGGTCTTGGTTAGCCCGAGTAATCACTTCTGGTTATATAGTTGTTGATCGAATTTTGACAAATGACATTTAACTTATTAATATATATTATTTTTTTAGTGATTTGTCACAAATGAAATTCTAATTGGTAGTGTTTTTTTTTTTTTTTTGAATCGATGTATTTACTCGTGTCATGATTAAATTATTGAGAATTTGATAAAAATGAAAAATATGGGCTTGTGTTTTAGATGAATTTTGCTATTTGAGTGATAACTTGAAAAATTGATGAAAGAGGGAGGTTGATTTGTAAATAGCAAGTTTCGGGCGGACTTGTTCCATCAATCAATGAACGTTAGGTGTTCGACGAAATTTTTCACCGAGAATTTACTGTGTTCTGTTCCAGGCGCCGGCATCTTCGGCCATCTATCCGACTCCTTCCTTGGAAGAAAAGGGTCACTCACCATCGTCTGCATCCTCAATGCCATCACCGGCATCCTGACCTCCTTTTCTCCGACCTACTGGTTCTACACCGCCTTCCGCTTCCTCAACGGTTTTGGTACCGGCGGCGTCGGTCTCTGCGCTTTCGTCCTCGCAACAGAACCCATTGGTCCCTCCAAGCGCGGAGTGGCCGGAATGTCCACCTTCTACTTCTTCTCCACCGGAATTGCTATCCTCTCGGGCGTTGCTTACCTGTTTCGGACATGGCGAACCCTCTTCGTCGTCACGTCCCTCCCCTCCCTCCTCTTTGTCCTGCTCATCATCCCCTTCATCTCCGAATCACCTCGATGGTATCTCATCCGCCGCCAGACCTCCAAAGCCATGAACTTGATGCGCGCCATCGCACGGTGTAATGGCAGAGAGATCTCCCCTGAAGTTACCCTCAAGCTCGACGACGAGGACGATGAACAGAACTCGAAAGAAAGCGCCCAGGTAGAACTGAATCGGATTCAATTTCAAATTTTCATTTTTTTTTTCTGAGCAAACATCTGGCATGCAGAAGGCTGAATCGGGATCCATCATCGATGTTCTGCGCTCACGAAGAACACGCCTTCGTCTTATACTAATGATCTGCATCAACTTCATGTGCGCGGTAGTCTACTACGGCCTCACCCTTAACGTCGTCAATCTAAAAACAAACCTTTACCTCAGCGTGACCCTGAATTCCGTTGCTGAGATGCCGGCCTACGTGATCACCGCCGTTCTTCTGGACCGATTAGGGAGGAAGCCATTAGGGATTGGAACAATGTTGCTCAGTGGCGTGTTCTGCTTGATCGGGTTCTTTATCGGCGGTGCGGGGATGATGATGAAGACGCTCAGAATGGTTTGTGGGGTGATTGGCATATTCGGTATGGCGGCGATGTATAATTTGTTGTTTATATATACGGCGGAGCTGTTTCCGACGGTGGTGAGGAATGCGGCGTTGGGGTGTGTGACGCAGGCGTCGCAGCTGGGGGCGATTCTGGCGCCGTTGGTGGTGGTGGCTGGTCAAAGTTTGCCTTTTGCGGTGTTTGGGGCTTGCGGGATCGCCGGAGCTTTGCTGACTTGTTTTTTGCCGGAGACGATGAATAAGCCGCTTTATGATACGATGGTGGGGTTGGAGGGGGGAGAGAGGAATTTTGTCAGATGAGTTTTTTTTTTTTTGAGATTCGTGCGAGTGAAGTGCTGGACGGATGGATCTAGATCTTGTTTAGATATGGATATTTGTATTAGAGTATTATGTTAAAAGAGTTGTGCCGATGAAACTTTAAATCATATATTTATTTTGAGATGAATAATTAATTAGAAATTTTATTAAGCTTGATTTCAATATTATTATATTTGTCCATCAGTATTTAATGAAAAATTTTTATATTTGTATATGGATTGCCTCCAGAGTTAAGTAAAAATTTGTGACATGACAAGTGTGCATCACATTTCTTAAAAATCGCTATACAATAAGGCACACTTGCCACATGTGGCAAGGTTTTACTTAACTCCACATTCTCTTGTGATGGCTTCTCTCCTTTGTTGGATTACATAGATATAATATTAATTGATTTTAGCACAATACAATATCATTTTATGCTGCCCAAACATTAGCTCTTATTCTGTGCGGACACTGCATGAAGACTTGCGTGCGATGTCCAATTAAAATGTGACATGTGGAATTGCGGCCACCACAATAAATAAAATTAAATTTCTCTTTTCTTATTGTGCGACCCGACCCAAGCCTGGCCCGAAGCACTAAAAAATTAAATCGCGCGCCTCACCAAGGCGTCTGATCAGCGGAATGCTAAACGTCGCCCGAGCCAGTAGAGCACCTTCATTCATTTGACAATCGTTTAGGGTTTTGGATTCAGAAAATCTTAGGGTTTTTGTTGTTCGCCGATCGAAGTAAAATCGCGATTTCTCGTTACCAAGATGGAATCTGAGCCCATGCAGACGGAAACCGAAAAGAGTCCTGAGAGAATGGAGACCAAAGAGCCGTTGATAATGGAGAATGAAGAGGAATCGACAATGGAGGTTGATAAACGCAAGAAAAACGAAACGAAAGAACGTAAGAAGAAGGGAATTCAAGAGGGTTCATCGGTTAATTTTATTGTGGTGGTTCTACTTTCATTGACAAAACTGTTAACAGAATGTAGAAATTCATCCATATAGTATTGGAGTAATATTTTAATAATATTTGAGTTACAAATCACTCAGGTATTTAATTCAGAGTGGTTGTTTTTTTGGTAATATTTGAGTAGTGTTTTAGTAGTATTTGAGTGATATTTGAGTAGTATTTTAGCTCAGACTTGCTGTTTTTGAGTAGCAAATCATAAGTTCATTCAAATTACCATAATAATATTAGAATAACACCGGAATAAAACTTGAATTTTAATAATAATATCAAACTAACACTACTTAACACTACTGAAATATTACATGAATATTACCTAAATAATACCAAACTAACACTACTTAACACTACCTAAATATTACCAAAATATTACTTGAATAATACAAAGAAGATTGAATAAAACCTGAAATTTATTTATACAATCAAAATAATATTAGAATAATATCTAAATAATACTATAATAATTCCATTTATACTACCTGAATAGAGTTAATATTTTTTTGCATTATTTTGTTTTATGTAGGTTTGTGAACCCAATGTCCATGAGCTGTAGATGACTGCCGTTCGTAGTGAGAGATGTGTTCGATAAAGTCAGACCTGCCATATTTGAAGAAATCAGGAATGAGCTAAAAATGATGAATGTTGATAAGTTTTTTGCTCTTCCACCTTATCCCCAAGACAATGTCCTGACACTGCAAATATTGCAATGTTGACAACATCAAAAAATGGTATTCAGAATGAGTGAGAAAGATCTGAGAATAATTCCTGATGAAGTTGCTCTTTTGATCAGCATGCCAAATAGAGGAGCAGTGTCAAAGTGGAAGAAAGTTCTATCATGTGGTGTGGATGCACGCCAAATGCGGAATGATATTTTGAACTTTGGAACCGGGGAGTCTTCTACCTCTTTTAATCAATTGTATATAAATTATTTGTTATCAAATTTATTCTTTCATTACAGTAATTTCAGTATATCTAAAGGACTTTACACCTTTGGCGAGAATATACATACATTTTCTTCATTTAATTGGTCTGTTGCGCTCTGTGAATTCCTTATTAAGAAAATTAATGCAGTAATCATCAAATTAAGGCGGAACCCACCTTTGGGATATATAAATGGTTTTCTTTTTTTGCTAACGGTTAGTATCTCGTATAAACGCCAAAAAATATTTATTTCTTTATGCAAAGCTGAATATGACTTTTCTTTTACACAGCTTTAGTTTTATGAGCACACTTCTTTGGTTACTGTTGCCACTCCTGAGGCCAGACCTCGAATGTTGAGGTGGCCAACACTGTAAGTTGGAACTCATCACTGATTGATATAGCCTTTAAGAAGTTGAATACTGAACAGATAAGTTACATTTAGTTGTTATTTAAAAATAAAATCTTATGTTTATTTGGGAGTTTTAATACTTAAAGCGTTTCTTTTTGAAATAATATGCAGGTTCATGATCAATTTTTGGATTTGAAAGAGAATGAGCTCAATCTGATCTCAAATCCAGATGATGAATTACCTGATCTAGTTTCAGCACCGGAATTCCAAGACAGACCTAAGGCCACTGTATCATTTAATGTGGGGCCAGTTGTTTCAAGCGACATTGCCCCGAAGACATTGTACACTTCAATAAATAAAAACATGGAATCAATAATTGAGCTGCTGAAAGGCCAAGAGAAATGATTCACTGAATTTCAGCGAACCCTGAATACAATAACTGTTGGAGTGTCGAGTTTGCAGGGGCAAATGTCAGTGCTTGCTACAAAATAAGATTGATAATTGATAAATATGAAAATATTTCAACTGATAAAGGTGAAGAGGTGGGAGTAGATGATTCCCATCCAACCTCCCCTCATGGTCGAAGTCCTCATGATGTTGTATATAATGAATTCGACATTGAGGAAGCTCACCAATTGTCTCCTGTGGGAGAAGAGAGAGCTCAGGAGAAGTTTGAGGGAGCCCAACAATCGTCTCCTGTGGGAGAAGAGGGAGCACAACAGCTGTCTCCTGTGGGAGAAGAGGGAACCCGACAGTCAGTTTCTGTGGGAGAAGAGGGAACCCAACAAACCTCCCCTAATGAAGGCTCCCATGAACGGTTTGTTCCTAGCTTAATCCAAAGGGTTAAGGGCAGACAAAATAGAAGAAAGAGAAAATTGAGTTCTCATTTCACTGCTTTTGAGTTAAAGAAAAGAAAAGTAATAAGAGAAGCCGATGAGCCGATGTTGTCTGATGAAGATGTCGCTGTACATATGAATACTAGTGAAGGCAACATTCAATCAATTATCCTGACACTAACAACCCACATTGCAGAGGAACAACTAGTAATTGAAGACGAAGAAGTAGAATGATCAGTAGTCTTGGCACTAACAAATTTAGGAGATCAACCCGATGTTTTCAATGTGGTATTTGGAAATTGTTTTTTATACATTATTTTATATCATCTAAATTACCTATGTATTTCAAATGTTATACAAAATTTTATTTTCTTAGCCTCTTCCAACGAAATCCCAGATAAATTATCCTGGTAGATCTATAGTATGAACCGAAGCACATGTAGTGATTGATCAAACTATGTCAAAATACACGAACATGTGAGTAATCTTCATCTTTTATAATGCGTTACTTTTGTCCTACATGAAAGGCTCACAAAGATTTTGTGTTATTCTGCAGGGATGATATTATGTTACACACTAGAATAATTTTTATAGATCGCAGACAATGAAAAAAGTATTGTGCAATGACATGATTGCAAATGACCATGTTGACGCCCAAACCATGATTTTGAACAGTTTGGACAGAAAGAGAAATGCGTCTCCATCTTTTTTCAGGCCTTATATTTATGTATTATCATTATACTGGGTAATCATTGATTAAGTATATTTAAAATTTAAATAACTATATGAATATATTATAAGTTTGTAATCTTATGCAGAGTTACCATAAAATGGGTAACACCGCAAGATTTGTGAGTCATATCACGAAAGAAACAATTAAAGAAGCTGATATTCTTACGATTCCTGTTTTGAACAACCAACATTGGGTATTGTTGTTTGTGGATTTAAAGGAGAAGAAGTGGAAAGTTTATGAAACCAGATGCACAAAAAAGTGTGCAAGGACGTTGTAAGTATACTGTCAGTCGTTAAAGGTATACCCATGCAATTTCACCAGTTTAGTCCATGCACTGATCACTAGTAAACTTTGCAGATCAAAAAGTTTGCAGTAGATACTAATGGTTCTTTTAGAGCTAAACCCGGGACCTGGCAACTCTCAATAGTTAAACATGTTCTAGTACAAACCAATAGTATTGATTGTTGGATCTTTTTCTGCAAATTTATGTAAAAATTAGGAAAGATACAGAAGTAATTGGAGTGAAAATCAGGATTGGCAGGCAGAGATGCCAAGATTTAGGGCAAAGCTTGCTCATGAAATTTGTTTGTGGGTATTGTCTTTGAGAAAGTAGATTTATTTGCACTGTTCATTGTTATTAGAATTTATTTGCATTATTATTAGAAATTTTATCATATGCACATGTTTCATTCTGGTTGTTTTTATTAATAGAGATGTTATTTTCTCTCTACAGGAATGTTATCGTCCTATTCTTGTAATATTATGGTTGTATTATCATTCCTGATGTTTTTAATACCATGACTGTTATTTTACTGTGTTATTATCGTATTCATGTAATATTATAGTAATATTATCGTTGTATTCTCATTCCTGATGTTTTTGATACCATGATTGTTATTTTACTGTGTTTTCGTCGCATTCTTATAATATTATAGTAATATTATGGTTGTATTCTCATTCTTGATGTTTTTGATAACATGGTTGTTATTTTACCTGTGTTATCGTCGTATTCTTGTAATATTATAGTAATATTATGGTTGTATTCTCATTCCTGATGTTTTTTGATACAATGGTTGTTATTTTACCTGTGTTGTCGTCGTTTTCTTGTAATATTGTGGTAATACTATGATATTATTAAGAGAAGATAGATGGTTTTGTCATTATGGTTGTTTTTAATAAGCTAGCTGTTATTTTGCCTCTGCAGTAATATTATGATAATATTATAGTAATATTATGGTAGTATTTTCATTCCGGACGTTTTCATTCTTGTTGTTTTTTTAATAAAATAACTGTTATTTTCCCTCTGCAGTAATATTATGGTAATGTTATAGTAATATTATGGTAGAAGTCTCATTCCAGATGTTTTCATTCTGGTTGTTTTTTTTTTTTTATATTGGGCGAAACTCGAGCTAGGTCGTATTGTAAAAACAATTTTCCGCTTATTTTTTTGCTGGTGGGCCCATATAATTCAGCTATCAGTTTTTTATTCGCTACTGTAGGTAACCTTGAGTGCGGTCTTCGGACTGAATAATTTTTCCCCAAACATATCGAAATGATGTGATGTGAATATATAATTGCTCGTAGTCTCATGTATGTCTTCCTTTATTGGTGACTAATACTTGACATGTCAATCTAGCAGCTAATAGAGGACGACTGAGTTCGTCAAGTCAACCCGCTTGGTCAACCCGATAGCTGGTATACAAAAGCTAATACTTAGCAATGTGAGTTCAACAAATCAGCCCACCTGATCAACTCGATAATCAGTACTTGACTTGTGAGTTTGACAAGTCAACATAACATATATGGTCAACTCAATGTAAACCAACCTGGTTAACTCGACAATGAGTTTTTTGAAACATAATGGGGCATCTAAGCTGGTCAAGCCTGCTAATATCAGTGGTCATTTATTTTTTTTGGAATATACCACGTTACCTAAGCATGAAAATGTGCATTTCATTTTTTAAAAAGTTAAAATAGTGAATTTTTTAATGTGTTATGAAAGATTGGTATAAATGTAGAAAATAAAATTTAGTTGTTAGAGACGTAAATAAAAAGGAATTGGGTGTTATGTATGTAGATTCCCTGTTGAAATGTTGTGAATATGATAGATGAAGGTGATAGGAAACAACTAAACAAATGGTGCTGAATATAAGTAAATGACCAAATAAGTGAATATTTTAGAAGCTTCCTTCACATGTTTACTGAAAATTTTGTTGGCTAAACAAAAAAGGAAGAATTAAAAAATAAAGGTGTTAGATCACATTATTTTATTTAATGGATGATTTGAGTTTAGCATATAAAATTCAAAATTAGGAGGTTGAGTCTAATCAAATTCACATGAAATTGATAATGAAAATGTTGTTAAAGGATTGCATCATACCATTAAAGAAAGATGGATTCAATTCAGAGGAGAGGACAAATTTTGAATTGCTCTCATGACAAGAGAGTAGTGGCTATTAATTTATCAACATTTTCTATATTTATATGCCATTTTAAAGGTTCATAATAATTCATTAAGTTTCATAAAGCTAAATAAAATATTATATTATCAATAAATTTTTAGATATCATTAAAATTGACTCGAAAATTCTCATTTAAGGATGGATCTTGTTTCAACATATGTTATAAAGATTCATACATTGTATACAAATAAACTCATTTGATTAAGCAACAAAAAAAATCTGATTAAACCTAAATCAACTTGGGAATCACACAAACTTCATTTAATAAATTAAAACTTCTAGTTAAAATGATTTTAATTCTAATACCATTACAATATTAATCTTTTTATTAGAAGGAATTATCACACATCATTCAATGATATATTCTAGTTTATAGCTAAAATGATTATAATATCTATGTAAATTACATTTAATTTAACCTAATATAACAATACATTTGATGGGATAAAAAGCTATAAAGCTCACAAACCAACATTTTAGAACTAGTCTATTTTGATTGAAGAGCAATATCACCTTCTATAAGGTCATATTTTGATAACCTCATATTTTAGTACAATAAGAAAATCCATGAAATTTCAATAAATCTTTGAAGTAACATGTATTTCAATGGCATCATCTCCTATAAAAGGTAAATTTTTTTTTGGAGGGATCATCACTTCTATATACATCCACTTATTTGTTTGCAGCACTTGTCATATATGGTATGAAAAAATGAAATTAAATGGACAGCAGGGCACAGTGCAGGACAGCAAACATAAAATAAGATAAATGAACAAAATCTGCAGCCAGCTTCAAATGAATCGAAAGATTTGTACAGATGCAAGCTCACAACTTGACCAAGATAAAGCTTTGAAAGGAGCCGAGCCACCCAGGCAAAAGTTAAAGAGAAAAGAAAAAAAAGAAAAATAAAATGAAATGAAATAAACAAATCTACCTGCTAAAAACAAGCTTAAATCACTGCACTAATTCTAAATAATGAAATACAAATTACAGGAGAAAACTGTACACAAGGGAAGGAACTGAGAGTTCCTAAATAATCACCAATTCCCAAAAATGTGGAAAGAGGAGCGAGCTCTGCGGAGGCAAAGAAGTAAATATATAATATGTAAGATTGAATTCCCTGTGCTGTGTCTCTTCCCCAAACCCAATAAGCTCAGGTAGATTGGTATACGTTTGGCCTACTCTTTAACCACTGCACCATTTCTTTATCTAATGGGCACTTATTCAACACGGCGTCCAACATGGGACTCCCAAAAAATGCTGGGTTGCTCTTGAACACCCATATCCGATCCTTCGGCCATGGTCTCTGCGGCTGCTTCTCCTGTTCCAAATCATCATACTTTTTGTAAGCAGTTAACAAAACCCTTTTAACTTTTTTTCTTCCGATTTTAGTTTTCACCCACTTTGGGTGGAGATCAAAATCATAATGAGTCTGTTTGAGGTAGCTGAAATTTTTGTAAAGTTGATGGTAAAACTATGCTGGGAAAAACCTCTTAGAAAGCTATCGCGAGAATTATGAATACTTCTTTTTAAAAAATATTTCTTACTGTCAGCACACTAACAATTTGGTGGCAAATAACCGCTTTCCACCACAATTTTTAGAGCGCAGCGGGAAAGCAATTTCCCAAATATAATAATGGTGGCAGTATGAAACACAGACAAACAAATCAAATAGAAAACTATCTCAAAAGGACCCTATATTTATTTAAGGAGGTTTTGTGAAGCTTATCAAAAAATATTCATGTCTAAGGGGCCAATTGGCACGGTTTTTTCGCTGCTGTGCGGTGGGAAAACGTCGTAGAGGTCGTTGGTTGTTGTGGTGAGCCTGTGGTTTTGGAAAATCCATCTTAAACATGGGCAGCGGGTTCAACCCCGCGGCCCGCGTTTCTTCACAAACCTTTTACAGCCCTACCCTCGCTCTTCGCTCGTGTCCCACTCTCACCTCTCTCGTAATTTCTGCCCTAAAGGTAACATCACCTTTCTCCATCCTCTCCGATCCATGGCTTCGATGGCTAGGGTTGGTTCTGTTTTGTTCCATTGGTTGTTGCGGCGAGCTTGCCGTTCTTCTCCTCTCCCTCTCCCCTATATTCTTCAACTCGGTTGGATCATTTGCTCTTCGTCGCCTCATGGTATGCTCTAATTTCTGTTCAGCTATGGTGATGATATGTTCATAGATATGTGATATGTTGATGGATATGGTGGCCGTGTTGCAGATATTTCTGTTCCTTTTTTTTGTCTCTCTCATAAATTTATGTTGTCCAGTTCTATGAATGCTAGTTACCGTAATGGGCAAGATAAAAGAAATTGGTTCGTCTGCTACCCGGGATAGAGATGACATTAATATTCTGTGAGCTGTGTTAAGGAGGTTGAATTTGGAAATATGTCAACCACCTAATTTAACAAGAAAGGTTGGCAGAATATAATTTTTCGAAGCCACCTCCTGATTAGCTTGAATATTAACAAATGAAATATTAATATCTCGCACAATACTGATGAGTAATATTACTTCAGAGAAATATTATATGATTAACACTGGATATTCATTACAAAGAGGATATCTCAAACATTTTCCTAATATGAAATATCACATTCCTGATTTTGAGAGCGCGAACAATGTCACTTGGGATAGGAAAGAGCTGTTTAATGAAAAACATTCATCCATATGTGGTGTCATTGAAAGAAATTTTGGAGTTTGCAAAAAAAAAAAAAAAAGAGGCATATTGTGGGATATGCCTAACAACATATCCGTTTCCAAAATAAGTGCAGATTGTGGTCACCACGATGACTCTCAACAATTATATTCCACGACATCTTTCGTGAAACGACATTGACTTCAATAGAGTTGATGAAAATCATTCACATGTATCTACTAAAACATATGAATATTGCCTAGGGCAATTTATCAAAGGTTAAAAGTGATTTTCCTAAGACTTGCACGCATGATGGGGAAGGTGCAGGGGAAATGATAAGAGTTGAGGGAGATGATTACGGATGTCATGGTTGGAGGATGAATGAAGGGATTGTTAGTTTTTTTGTTGCCACTTTATATGCAATGTGTTGTGAAAACATTTATTGTTTGTTGTATTGATATTTTATGCAAATGATGTATATTTTACATCTATATTTTATTTTCAATTCTTAGGCATGTATTCTTTCCCACTTAGATGACTGATGAGACAAACATGAATATAATATGTAATCTAAATATTGCATGTTTTGTTTTTTAATCATGGAGGTTTATGATAAGATATTTGACTTTAAGAGTTCTTCCAGATGACCTATATGTTGAAATTGGTGTTGGACACATGTGAAATATCAAGGAAGGCAACCAAGTTGCTCTCCTTTTTCAGTCCTAAGGAATTTGAGGTTCTTCTGGATAATCTTTATTTTTTGTGACATGCATATGTGACACGCATATGTGACACATACGAGTTTAGGATTACGTAATTTCAAGGCAACCAATAACCCTTTTTTGCTCAGCTTTGTTGTCTTATTGTAGTGACAAATTCGTTGGTTTATACTATATACTCTGAGACATCACAGTTTCATAAAATTTGAATTGATTACTTTTATTATTCATTTTTACCAATGTTGCATCTAAGGTTTTGTGTTGTGTTGTTTTAAACCTTTAGAAAAAACGAGCCTGAAGACTTTCGGTACCTCCACAACATTGTACTGCTACTATGGATTACAATGTTCCTTACTTACTTCCCAACAACCACATAACTACCAGAGACAGTTTTACAGGTGTTCAAGAAGAAAAACAAAAAATTGTGACTTATTCAGATGCGAGAAAGGGTTGAGATTCCATCGCTGATGGCGATTTATCATGGAGAGCTTCCTTGAAGGACAACTTATGTCATGACATAAACTAAGTGCCTTTTAAAAACTATATTATCATATTATCAATTGTTATTTTAATAGTTTTTTTTAATTTTGATTATTGTGTTACTATTTTGTGAGGTATCTGTTTTTATTTTGGAAAATTCAAATTGGATATTTGCTTTCAAGTATGAAATGTGCTAACGGGAATAGTTTTAGTTTTTTATATAGAGCACTATAATACAAAGGCATAAAGTCATTTGTTCAGAAACAACAACAATACAGTTGTTTCAAAACTGCAAAAAACAAACAGACAACTCGTTTCTCCGCAGTAGCTTTTTAATGAGTTGTAGCTGCCCCAAACAGGCCCTAACTCTACCCAACCATGGATTTTATCATTTTTTTTTAATTCTACAATAATATGTTCTCAAGCTACATTCAGCAAAATCAAGTAGAACCTTAAACTAATCTAAATCTGAAAATCATATGAACACCAAAAGATAATTATAAAGCTGAACTTGTGCTAAATGGATCCAACTGATAAAATCTACTCACCATTCTGGATAGCATAAACCTCACTGTCCTCGAGTCGTAGACACGTTCATGAACAGGCTTATGAGATTTCCCATAGAAGGATGAAATATCAGGTAGAGACAAGCAACCCCTCCTAGCTCTTGCCAATCTACAGTCAGGCTCCGCATTGTTTGAACTATGCCAATAGATTAGCTGACCTAAACAATAATTCTCACCATATGTCTTGCAATACTCTTGAAAACCAGAGCCCATCTTGTTCGCATACTTGGGACCGAGATCAAGAGGGCTGATGTAAACTGGAGACGAGGTCACAGAATTATATTCCTGAATTATCCAGAGAAAGAAGGGAAAATTTAAAAAACAAACAAGTGAAAGATCAAGTAAAAAATGTTTGAAATCGCCTATTTTTACATACCCTGACTTTGAAAAAACACTTTGTATAAGCGTACATGTGAATTAGGTCCGCAGCAGCATCATGCCGACACTTAGGCGTGCATGGAAGGTTCCTCAACTCATCCCTTAACCTGGCGCATAAACACAGATTCATGAATATATTAAGAAGTTTTGAATAGCAAAGGGTCCCTTCGGAATCATTTTTATTTTTATTTTATTTTGTTTATGTTCTATTTCGAAAAAAAAAATATTTTGTATGTTTGATTTAGATATAGTTGTTTTTGAAAACGCTTAGAACACCTAAAAGTTATTTTGAGCGTTTTCAAAAACATATTCATTTGTTTTTAGAAATAAAAATAAAAACAGGAAAAACACACTAAATAAACATGTTTTTAAAAACAAAACAAAAAACAAAATAGATCCCAAACAAGCCCTAAATCATTGTCATTATATCAAGGGACACTTACCATAGCAACGACTTGCGGAGTTCTCGCTGAAGGTTATCTGAACCGGATGGATCATGTGACTGAAGCTTGGACTTCAAATCATTCAATAGCTCTGGTTCCATATGAGGAGTCATGGACTGGAGTAGCTCCTCGACCAGAGAACCCTCCCCTTTCCACAGGATAGAGACTAAAGCTTCAGGTTCGAGCTTCTTCACGGGAGGTGGGGCCTTTCTAGGGTCACCAAATGAGCATCTCATTACATATCTTAACTGAAATGCAAGCTTAAGGTCAGGCATTGAAAAATTTCATGTACATCATAACTAAGTATTAGATTATGAACGGCTAAATTGTAGGAAAAAAAAAATGCTTGAAACAGCATCAACAATAAAATACTTATATTAGAGAAATGAGTAATTTCTTGTGAAATCACTCATGGAGGGAAAAAAACCCATTAGAGCACCTATGATGATGACAGAGACTCAGATAGCAAAATAACACGGCTAAAGCTGTGATCTAAAGCAGACATGCTGCGAACACATAACAAGAACTAAAATATTTGTCCTGGAGAAGAACAAGAAGTAATGTGTTTACACTTTCAAGGTCTATAATTCTGAGGGATGAGAACTAATGAATTTATGCAATGCTATTGTCAAGAGAAACCAATCTTAACAGGTAGAAGTGTCAATTAAAAATTTAATAAATAATTGGCTATTGACGGAGAAGCTTCTATAACGTTTTTCATATCTTTGTTTAGTTTTTGAGGCGAGAATTAAGAATCTTCTCTCTTTTTTTTTTTGTGAAAAACTGAACTTACGATATCCTTCCTAATGCAACAATATGTGAAAGAATGGACCACATCAAGAGATCTAAAGCCACTTTCTCGAATGGTGGTCATGTATCTATACTCCTCTAATGAAGCAGAAATTGCATATCACGCAAACAATGGAACAAGACTTTCCAATAAATTAGTACAAAGAAGATCATTGCAAAAGTTCATGCCTGCATGATGCATGTTAATTACCTTGTCTAATGTAATCGCCATATTTTGTAGCCTTGCATTATAAACACCTTCAGCCTAATAAATAAAAAATGTAGGCAATAAATTAGTCATAAAAAAAAGTAAAACTTTAATACCACATAAAGGCTGGAACTACAAAATACCTGGACCAAAGCATCATTTCTTTCAACCTCAAGACAGATCTCAGCAAAGAACTTTTTCTTCTCTTCAACATTGTGCTTGAGAATCTCAGCATCTTTCAAAGTTTATAAACCTCAGCTTCATTCAACATGAACAACCAACAGTTAGTGGATTTAACTAAATTCTCATGAAGAGTGGTACAACTGCAGCAATGAATAACTACCAAACGAGCCGAATAAGCAACAAGCCAATCAGGTAGCCCCTCAAGCAAACAAGTTCCTACACCAGCTCTTCCCAGTTCAATATAGTCTTCTTGAGACAAAGAGTTGGCCTCACAAGCCTCCAAAATAAGTTTGTGCCGGTCTAGCACACCATGGCAAGCCATTAATACCTGACAATATAGTTTAGGTTGGCAACACTGGCTAAAAAAGAACTGAAGGAGCAAGATTCGAGACAGTAAAACAGCACATTCAAGCATCATATCTGCAATATTACGTGTATTCTACAATAACTTCTACAAGCAAATATAATCTGTGGTTCCATTAAAATGCAACTTCCATGAAAGAAAGACAATTATAATAATCTAGAGATAATAGAGGTATTGCTATATACCTTCTGAAATGCCCCTTCACCTGCCAGATTCAGATAGCTGCCTCTGCAAACATGGTTGCCACACAGACAAACTGATGCTTCATATTCTTCCTTGCTCTGCAAAACAAACAAAAACCATGATGACCATATGAATAAATCCAGAAAAAGCTGCAGACCTTGGAACAGGAAGCTAACCTCTGTTATGGAGTTGTAATCAAAAGTAATCTCCTCGCCATAAGCAATTGGCCGCAAAGAATAGATTCCAATCTGGTACTGACCATCAACAGCAGTAACTCTAGCAAATAAAAAAAAAAACCAAATATGTCCACATGAATACGTAAGCGAGCCTAAGTAAGCCTCAAAAGAACAAATTTTTTTGGCAATCCATGATTAAAAATGATGCCAAAAAAATGGACTGCATATCTCATGGAGAGCAGTGAATACTGAAGAGATATTTTTATTTCAGCTGGTGATAGATAGCAAATAAGAGCTCTAGTGGCTATTAAAAATAACCAAATATCACCACTAACAATGAGTCTGGACTTCAATCCTAATCCTGAACCAAGAATCACAGGATACACATACACTCGATTTTAAAATCCGGCTATGCTGAGCTGAGGATGTCAGCTCCCTGTACCTATCCATGCCAAAGTCAGGACATAATTCCACAAAGTTGGGTTTTGTGTTGATGCCAAACAGAGCCAGATCAATATACTTTTCTTTATTAGGGATTTCTGTATGATAACGTAATAATTTTTGTTGAGATGCTACTTTAACGTAAAGAGAGGCTGCTATGCGAACAATGATTATACTGACCATGAAGCCAAGTCGTACGTGCACAAGCAGCAAAAACCTTTTTGCGGTGAGTTTTCCAAACCAATAAAATGTATGATACATCAGGTTATTGAAAAGCAAACTTAAAAGCATTACCAAATGAATTCTAAGAAAAACAAAAATCAGACTAAAACGAAAAAACTAGGTTAACCGAGCAATTGAAATAAAAAAAACAATAATTTATAAGTAATAAAATAGTTTTGACGCAGAGTGGCAGGGGAATAATAACTTCCAAGAGTAACTTAGGGCAAAAAAAAGGAAAAGAAGGTTAAAAGGGCAACACAGTAGATCCTCACATAAGTCATGTTGAAACTGGACTGAAAAATTCACAAAATACAAGATAGATAATTTGAATCCTCAAAGCACATAAAAATGACAAAAGGTCAATGGTTCAGAAAAATTTTCATTCTTCTTATAATCAGAAACTTTATACATCACAAAGTTACCATAAATATACAAACTAATGAAAGATAAAATTAAACTTAGATTTATTACACAATAACACTTAGGTAAATAAGAAATAATACAGGTTGCTAATTCTTGACCATCACATCAGACATAATCACCTACTATCCAACGTTGGCCATCAACTCCCTTGAATTAGAAAGTAACTCTCCTTCAGAGAGTAAAAGTGGAGGTTTCTCTCAAAAATATCAGAAAAACCAACAATATATTCCATCAAGAAAATATTAGAATCCTTTGATAGCAAACAAAATTTACATTTTATCAAAACCACTATAATATTTTTAGATGTTACCGATAGCGTCATCGATGCTAGAAATATAATCAAACCATGGCCAGCTTATAGAATCAATAAGATGTGGTAAAGTCATAAAGGGTGCCTCAACTTGATGACAAAGTTGACTTATCAAATTGTGAGGGGCCCGAAACTAATTTTAAAAGGCAAGTACAAACACACTAGATTCTTATTGCTAAAGAATAGAAAGACTTAATCAATATGAAAGGAAAAGACGATAGGCAGAGTGTTGATTTTAAGCAAAAAAATTGAAACTGAATCATCACTACCCTTAAAAAGTTTCAAATAATAAAATAGTGCATATGATATGCACCTTCCATCATGTAAAACAATATTCATTTCAAACCAGCATCCAATTCATGCAATACTCTTAAAACGTAATGTAACAAGGCACAAAATGGATGTTTGGGACGCATCAACTAAAAGCCTTCTAATCCATATATCATGAAATGAGTTGAATCAACAAATGATTTACAATCTATATCAATGAGTTACTAGGATTCAATTTCAATTTCAAATTCAACTATAGGTCTGTATGAAGCACCATAAATAATATTAATTTGTTCATGTTTTTAAAATCAAGATAGGAAAATAAATAAGAACACAACTTCTAGAGTCAAAATTGGATAATTAAAATAGAGAAATGACTCATAAGTATTGGTGATAAGAGAAAATCTCGGGTAAATCTTATGAAACCACAATTAGGCCAACAATGTGGAATAGAAATGAGTGTTGGTTAGTAAACAATAATTGATATCTGAGTAACTGTGTCGGGTGTAGCTGAGATAAGAATATTTAGATAGACATGTGGAAAATATAGAAAAGATAAATTAAGAAATAATTATATTAAAGGATGGTCGCAATAACATCTAATAATGATAAAAAAAATGAAAAAAAAAACAATGGTGATTTGAAAAGATACAACATAGGGTTGCAAATGAATCAAATTAAGCAAGTAAGAGCTTGCTCGAGCCTAGGATTATTTGCCAAAATCTTATTTGAGTTCTATTTTGAGTATTTGTGGCAACGTTCAAGCTCAATCTGTTCAAGATTGAAACCATGGTTTGAGCTCAGCTCATCAAAGAAAAATACTTATTGACCCTATTAACAAGCAATGCTATCGAGCAATTCCTTAGTTGATTAAATAAACTTTGGAAAGCCTATTAATGAGTAGCATATTGAACTTAAAATGACACTTTAATTGAACAAATTACAAAGGTAACAAACATTTTACTAAGCATCAACAAATAGCTTGTATTCATAAAAAAAATAATTTAATATTAAAAAGAAAAAGACTTCCACCAAATCAAAAATTAAATAAATTTATAATTAAGAATTAAACAGGTATATTATTAGGTCTAAATTGTTCTTCTTAACGGTAGCTTTAGATGATATTAATCATGGTCATAATCAAGTTGAACACATCGTTATTCAAACTTATTTATTTATAAATTGAGTATTTATATGAATGTCCAAACCTATTTCATTAATTAATTAAATATCCATAAATGAGATCTAATCAAACCGAGCAACGACCGACCTGTTGAACACATTAGTGCATTCTTAGCACTAATAATATTTAGGATAAAAAATGTGCCTATTAGATGAGTGAATAAATTAACATCAACATCAAGAAGGACAAGGGGCAAAGGCTATATGGACAAAAATTAGTCAAAATAATTACAATCTCAAGTAGCACTTAATAAGAACAAATGAAAAAAGATAATACATAAGGCTAACACAGAATATTTGGGATAAAAATAATGATAATGATAAATGCCCAAATTCAAACCATCATTATAAACCAAGTATCTATAAATTATTCAATATTTTGTCTTCAGTATCTAGAAAATCAATAAATCCCTACATAAGCAGCATAATCATACAAAGGTATAGGTAGGCTCAATGACATTTCTCATCATGCACACAAAAAAATCTTTTGGTTTGCATGCTAGTGGTTCTTCCGATGGGTGCAATGTTAGGAGCCAACCACAGGGTACTGAAGTTTAACTAAATACACCAATGACTAAACCCATATTTATCCAGAAGCTTAAATTTTAGGAGGATTTACAACTTGGTACTTCTACATCAAAATTTTTATCAACTACACAATATGAGGCTAACCCAAACCTCAAGTGCATTAAACAGATTCTCCTTACATAAGTCATAAGCCATTAATCCCACTCAATGATGTGGGAGTAATCTGCATTTAAACCTTGCTCAATAACGATGGAAGCTGGTCAAGCCCAATAGGAGAAACAAACCACCTATACCAATTGTTAAAGAATAAGCCAAAAGGGACTGAACTTGCAGTAGATATATCAGTGGACAAATCTATTTTAAACTAAAAACTTTAAGTATAAAGGTGAGGACTACTTGAGACTCTAGTAGTTATAAATTGATCAAACATATTTTTTAACTACTTAAAAATGAGACTATATCAAAGCCTTCTGTGCCTTGACATGGTGCAAATTAAATCGAGGGAGTGATAATGATTAACTTTATAGATCAAATTCGAGATATTCTAGTGGTTATAAATTGATCAAGTTTATATTTGCTAAAAGTGGATTTTAGTTGTCGCACTTTTTATGACAAGCTTCAACTATAGTTTTAGATCCAAAGGGTTGTACTTTTATTTTAATTTTAGGATGAAAACCATTCATAATATAAATGTTACCATGTTTTTTTCATTAGAAATCACCGTTTGGAACAACCTTTTAACCGTGTTTATTTTCAATTGTGTTTGAATATTGCTTTCATACTGTTTTCTAACAATTTTGTGATGAAAAATTGCTTTTCACAACCACATAAAGTGTGCTAGTTGTAAGAAAGTTATAGATTGACTTTAAAAAAAATTATACTACCCACAAAAATTTTTTTAAAAAATCCCTTTTCTGACAACAACTTTACAACTACCTTCATAAAATGCCGCAACTGCACCAAACAGACCATTTAAAACCAAGTTCTTTGAATTGATTGAAGTTTTGCCTTCTGAACTTAGAAATACGAAGCAAGTATTCCCCTAAATTAACTTTCTTTCAACCCAAATTCTAATAAAATCATAAACAATATTATGCACTTCGTACTAGACTCCTAACTGGAATCTTTTAGGTGCCACCACCAACTTAATCTTAACATATTTAATTCATTCATAATAATCATGAAATACCAATCAAACAAATGCTTGAGTTCAAACACCTGATCAACAAAAGAAGTAGAATCATTCCTATAATCAAAAGTGAAGAATAAAACATTTTTATAATAAAAAATTAACTCCATCTTAATCTTTTGTACCAAAATTTGAAGAAAATCCCAACATTAATAAACACCTTAATTTCTACAAAATGATGATGTAAAACTCAAAACAATTAAAATCCATAAATTTTAACAGAAAAAGAATTTGAACAGTAAGGCCAATTCACAAATACAAAAAAAAAAACTTATATTGAGGCCATGAGTGAACAAAGCCAATCATTCAATAAAGCATTATAAAAACCCCAACTACAGCAAAAAAATTATCACTACTGTAATCTAGCAAAATCCATCGTTAATGCCAAGGTCATCATCAAGAGGAAAATACTAAGCAAAACAATTTCCACTAGCAATTTGTCACTCCTTTATTACGCTCTTTGTGACATCAATACAAGTTAATCTCCAAAAAAAAAAAATACATTTTCCATCAAGAAAGTATCATTTGACCATTTTCACTTCTGTTCAATTTCTTTCCAATTATTTACATAGAATCAATAACTGGGTAAAGAAAATTGGGGTTTAGGTTATGATGAGGATAGTCAAAGCTCCCTAGATGCAGAACATCAAGAAACTCAAGCACATGATTGAAAGAGATATGAAAGAGACAATAAAGAAGCACAAATAAATAATTTAAAAACCCAAAGAAGGATGGAGAATATATATATATATATCTGTGTGTGCCGCAAGCTATGGCCTGTTGCTTGGCGGGATTCACTGTAAGTCCTCTCAGGTCACGGGTTTGATCCCAGTGGCGTTGGGTTCTCGAATATTTAGGCACATGGCGCAGGCTTTCATCGTGGGGCTTAGCTTATGAGAAATCAATATTTGGGATCTACCAAATACAGATTTCCTTATTTTGTATATATATATACATATATATATATATCAGAGGCAACGAACAAGATCCCAAGCTAGACCCAAGCACAAGTTATTGTCATGATGGATGTACTTAACTTCTGGCTCATATTTTGGTCCTTAAAAAAATTTATTTTAATGATGTAAGAATGTGTGGAGTGAATTGTAATAAGGTTTACAGATGGGGAGTATAGGTGGCTGCCTACATGCATTGGCTATGGCATGGATTTTTCCATAAATACTTGATATTTTCCCTCCTCATTGGCAAGTTTCTTCTCCGCAAGGCTCTCCTAAAAAAATCATTTGAATTTTATAGGGGCTATATAATAGCTATAACTAAGAGAATAAATGGAAAATAAGTTTGAACACTTGCCAAAAAAATTGGACCTTGAGAGCTATGTGTCCGGTAGCCGCCCCCTCTCTTGGACCTTCTTCATGAAAATTGTTGACTTCATTCGTCTTTTACAAGATCTCCTCAATCACTTATAAGGAGCATTTTCTATATAGTTCCAACATGCCTAAAGGCCCTCTTTCCTTTCCACCAAGTCCCTAACTTGCATGCAAGTAGCTTGGAAGCCTCCAAATTACTGATGACCACAACCCCTTCCCCTCACAAAATCTGAGTAAATCTGACCTCTCTACGCAAGGATTCCAACACCTCACAATCATAAACTTTAGAACAATTAGAGCTGCTCTCCCACTCATCCAAAGCCTAACCCAAAAATTTCAAGATCTAAAACCAAAATTACTAACCCCTCCTCTCGCTAGGTCGATGGTCTGCTTACCTCTCTCTATACCTAGCCTACCTTTAAAACCCAACAACTCAATAAATCACATCCCTACTCACCGAATAAAAATGCCCTGCATTCTACATCCCTCACCATAAAAAAAAAAAAAAACCACCATTAAAATAGCCCTTACGCTTTCAACTAAACCTTCACTACCATTACATGAGATTAACCCCCATCACATGCTCTAAGCCAAAATAAAGGAAGGGGGCGATGCTTGTGATGGGAATCAAAGACCGAGAGCCTCAGAAGAGAAAGGGAAAACAAGTAATAGGGAGAGAATGAGATATTGATCAAGAGAGACAAACATATGAAGTGTTCAAACAGCGGCAACAACAAGCAATATTGAGAAAGGCCTAACAAGAGTGATGTTTGACTATACGATATGGAATGCCACCGATAAGTTTGACAAGCCAATCTTTGTGAATTGATGCCTTAATTACTCCCCTCACTCCACTAAAGGAGAGAAAGAGTGGAATCGAGAAAATAAGACATTGAGCAAAAAAACAAAAGATGAGAAAGTGAATAGGAAGCAGCAGCTTCAAGCATGATTGGGATAGGCACGATAATAGTGAGGGTTGGTTGTTGGATATTAGCAGTCATAAAAACGCTTGAGGAGCCAACATATGGAACCATGTCATGGTTCATCTTCTTCTTATGCTTCCGTTCATCATTCTTCCTAATAGTTCCTAGCATGAGGTGATTGATTGGGTTGTTTGTAATTAGAAGAGTGCACTAAAACTATTTCCTTCACCTTGCTTTCTTAAGTAAACATATTAACCTTACTATAACATTATAATTTATATGTGGTTATGTTTGAAACAAGTATTTCAAAACAAGACTTTCAAGATTAAGTGATTAAAATGCATGGAGAATAATTTAAAATGATTCAAGTATAGTCACATTTGAATTAAGATTTGTGATAACAAGCCATAACAAACCTAAAATGAGAATGTTGTCATTTCTTTAAATTGATAATACCCTTAATTAAGCAGCAAGATGTGCATGTATTTTGATGGGTCTAGTATTTTAAAAAATTAAATATAATAATTATTTTGTATATATATATATATATATAATAATAATAATATTCCTTAATTTCATAAATGACTCCGCTAAGGCATAAAGTTCAATGTAATACATACATGAACCTAATAACTAATATTTATATACACATAATTCTGAGTAAGATTATCATTAAGAGCAAACTTAAGATAGAGAAACCCACGCCTATAAATCATAAAAATTCTTTATCAAATTAAGTATCAGGAAAAACTATATGAGCATGTTGGTGTAAGAATGTGTTAACTTCTCCATTAGGGTGAAGACATTAAAATTAATATATGGTGTTAAGATATAAGCGCACATATAAAGCCACCCAACAATTTGCACAATAAAGTTTAAAGATGTTTAAAGTGGTAGTGATGGAACTCGTTGAACATTAGGGGAGTGCATTAATTGGTTCAAACAAAAAAATCAAATCAAGCTAAATCAATTACATTTGGTCATTGGATTAATTGATTTGATTATTAAAGGGTAGTTCAAATTTTTATTTTGAATTAAGGTTCATTTGGATTTCGGTTTCAGGTTCGGTTTAATAAAAAAAAAAACTGGTTAAAGCAAAAACTGAAAGGCAATTCTTATACACACACACACATACAAGTTTGGTTTATTATTTTCTCCTTATATTTTAATTTGATTTTATCTTTGCATTATCAAAATTAAATATTTCATTTTATTTTTTAAAATTCAATCAAATTGAAACAAAACCGAATAAATCAAATCATATTACAATTCAATTTGGTTTAGTTCTGCTTATGATTTAGTCGGATTAATTTTGCCTGTAATGAATCAATTCAACCAAACTAAACAGATTTACAACCATACTCAATAACCATGGCTTTTTACCTATTGCTATCTACTAAGTTCTTAGATAATATGGTAGCAGTTTATATTAAATTCTTATAAAAAATCCATCTTGTTTGTCTCGTTCTTTAAAATAATATACGTTATTATCTATCATGAAGCATGTTGTAACTTTGTATTCAAGATTGATATATTATATTTATGAAATAAGCACCATTGATATAATTTTAATTTATTAGTACAAGTGGAAAAAGTTGTTAATATCACATAATCATATGTTCAAATTGGATAATTATTATGTTGCTCATTCGCATGCGTTGGCTAGGCCACTCACAAGTTGAATGAGTATGTCAACGGGCCGATTCCTGTGATTAGCATGCCTCCTAGCGGATCTTCTACATGTGCCAGCTTTATCTGGGAATACCTCATGCTAATTGTAATATAGATTAATGCATTTCAATAAAGGATAATACGAGATCTGATATTATTATTAGCATGAGATTGTAATAGATAGATATTTTTGAGATTCATCATATTGTATATGTATATCTCAAGTATAATGTTATATGTTTGTTTTTACATTGTGTTATAATATTATTAGTTTCTTGAAAATGACATTTCATTATTGACATATCTGGGATTATTAAATGATGTTGGATGTGTTTAAGAGTGCATACTGTTTTAGCATTCATTGTTTTTTATAACATTAAGTTTAAACTAACTACTAAGAATAGTAAGCACCCAACTAATGTATTATTATCTTTTAGAAAGTGCATTTCTTTGTGCGGTTATTTAAAGAATAAAAGGTAGCTGATATAGAGGGTAAGCTAGATGAGTAGTAAGTATTTGGTAATTTGAAGTTAATGAATGATTGATATGCATCTATATGGTTCCAAAGCTAGTGTTTGATGCTTTTGTATGCCCTAAGCCGTTTTGAGAATAATAATTGCAATGATTCAATTTAAATTTTATGTTGATAGATAAATAGTCTAGATATTATATGAACGCAGTAGCTTTGTTTTGCTAATTGATGCATATTCAATAAGGAGAGACATTATAATATGGACAACTAGAATCTAAAGGAGAGAGGAATCACCAACAAGATTAAAAAGATAATATCAAAGAATTCTTTGCAAGCTTATCTAGCTCTACAAAGAACATCATTAGATTTCATGATTGGCTGACCAATAGGATAAATGGATTGTGCAATTACCTTTTGTATAAAATGAAAACCTAGGTCAACTCTCAAGGTCATTTCTAGCTCTATCCTTTCCAGTTCATCAAAGAATTTCAAAAATAAGAAAATTAGAAGTTATAAACATTTTAAAGGTAAAGGAAAGTCTTTTTGTGTTGCCCAAAAAAATCAGACCATAATAAGTCGGTGTAAGTCAGAGATTATAGAACACCAGAATAGAACTGAAAAGGAGAGAATAGAAGAGTTTATTGATACCACAACAACCGTATATTTGCCTCCATTTTCTAGTTCAAGACCAACTAGCTTAAATAATACCCAAAGCCAAATAGTAATATAAGTAAATGATTTGCACACATACAAAGAAGACCGGCAAATTGCATAAAACAGGTGAAAATAAGAATTACAAGTACTCAAGCAAACATGTAAAGGCAATCTCATCTAAAGGAAAAGCAAATTTTTGCACCGATGAGTTACTGTTCTATGAGAACAGGCATAAGTATATTATTCAGGATCAGATGTGAGAGTACTTACTTCGCTTCACAATTTGGACGGCAAGAGTGACATATTCGACTGGCATAGTTTGCTTTATGCATGGCATCAACAACAACCAAGTCATATCCATCACGGTCACCCTATAACTCAAAATTCAACAAAAAACCCACTCGATATACTACAATATGTTAAATCAAAGAATGAGAAAAAAAATATATATACCTTTGGCCTCTCCAAATAAATGTTATAAAACTCAGGCGCTGGTTCTTGATTGTTCTTTTGCAAAGACCTAATTCCATCCTGCTTTTCAAACCATTTCCAAGATGGATACACCTAAATAGGGAATAAAAATAACTTTAGTTTTAAGATAAAAGATGAATAATTGAAGACCTCACTTCATCATTCTAGTAGGAAGCTAGGATTATATCAAACAGATTCCAATGCGAATCAAACTTGAATAAGAATCTAATTTATTATACCTAACACTGAAATGAGACATTCAATTTTACAAAAAAAAGATGCAAGCAATTATCAGTGTAAGCGGCGAAGAATTTAGCTCAAATGAGAATTACTGATGCAAGTAGCTCGCCTTTGAAATAAATAGTGAAGAATGATTCATTATGCCAATCCCCTATATTCCTCTAGCATATAAAATATTCTTGATACATTCTTTTTATAGATAGCATGCTTCTAATAGGTGAAACCTCTACTGAAATAAGTGGATAGTTCAAAAATTCAAGAAAATAATCAGAAGACAATATATTAAATATTAATAGAACAAAGACGGTGTATAAGATATGCAATTTTAATGGATGTGATATTATTAAAATATAATTTGACAACTAGATGAAATATATTTAAGTATCCTGGATATATTAGACAGAAAAATAAGGTATAAATGAAAATAAAACCTCCAAAGTAAGGCCCAATGTCTAAAATTGAGATATGCTTCATAAATAAAATATAATAAGAGAATATCATAGAGACTCAAAGTTACACTTCATAAAAATACAATTTGTACAAATTATATTGTATGAATTTGAGTGTTGGGAATATTAAAAAATCATCGATAAAAAAATTTAAAAATGACAAAAATTGAAAAATACTAAAATAAATGTATGTAAAAAATAGAAAAGATAAATTGGAAAATAATAATTCTAGACCACTATTGAAATAAGTGAATAAGTTAAAACAATGAGGAAAATCCTTAGAAGATAAATTGCTACTGATTAATAGAACAAAGACAATACATACCAAAAAAAAAAACTTAATGGGAGTGATAAGGAGTTTCAACAAATCACCCGAAACAATAATGCGACATGATTTCAGGTTAACACGATTAACTTTCTGATTGAGATCGACTCAAGTATTTTGACCGTTCAGTTCTTGATTTTGGTTCGGGTTGACCTGAAAACCTAAAGTTGTCCAAAAATTAAACTGAATTTAACTCAAATTTATTCTGAACTTCACCAAAATTGGCATCTTCTATGTCCATGAACCTCTAAATTTTAAATAGATTACTTGAGTCAGGGATGGGTTAGTTGAGTTGAAGGTAAGTTCAGTTCTAGCCAAACTTTCTAGTGTGTTTAATAAATGGGTTAAGTTTGATCATGTGGGTTCGGGTTGGGTCAAATAAGATCAGGACTAAACTTGGCTCGTTAACTCGAATTGAAACCCCTAAGAATGACATCACTAGTTATCATAAACTATTAAAAGAAAATTAGGTAATAAATAGATTAAATAAATTTAAGTATCTCATATCTCATATAAATAGAAGATATTAATGAGGAAATAATTCTAGGGGTTGGCACAATGGCTGAAATAGATAAAATGCATCATGGGTGCTATATAAAAAAGAGAATATAATAGGAATTTAATATTACACTTTACAAAGCGGCAATTAGTATTATATTGTATGCAACTACGCATTGAGCACTTAAGAGGTCATTGAAAAAAAAAATTAATATGATAAATAATAATATAAAAATAAATGAAGAAAAAAACTAGTAAATATAGATTAGATAATGTTTACACTAAAGGGACATTGAGAATAGATCTACGGAAATTAAGGTTGTTCAAAACCATTTTAAGCTGCTTAAGAATATACAACAAAGGATAATGTCGATAAAATTGCACAAAAAGACTAAGATGCAAAAAAAAATGTAACAAAGAAATTGGGTAAATAAAATAAACAAAATTAGTTTGACACCTCATGTAGCACAAAATAGAGATTAATGTAAAAAAGTGATTACTAAAGTTGACCAAAAAATAGTTAGAATAGAGTTAATGATGATGTTAATGGTCCTAAAAGAAAGATAACAAGCAGCACTTATCAAACAGTAAAATAAAAGTAGAGCTTTTAGAAGCTGTATTGAGAAGTCAATAAAAATATTTTCCATATCAATCTATAAGCAAATGTCATATCACTCAACCCAATTGTAAAATATATTTCACTCACAAAGTAAACGTTAAATGGATCAATTTAATGTGGGAGCAGGAAAAAAATAAAGATTTTTTAACATACCAAGCACTATCAGTCAATGGTCGTTGTTTAAAAAAGTTTCTGAAAGCTGGTAGAAGCAAGATTCACTATTTCATAGCAATGAAAACAACTTGGCAAAAATAGCTCAAATTTACACATGAAGACAGAAAATAACAACCAAAGTGAGGGACAACCTCGCCCAAGAACTCCACAACAAAATCATCTTCACTGAATCCTTCCTCTTTGTTGCAAACCACACCAAGGCCCTGACAAGGAAGGAACAAAGGGAATTAAGATAACACAATAATATAATAAAAACTACTCAATACATACATACATACATATATATATATATATATATATGTAGACATATATATGTGTGTGTGTGTGTGTGTAATGCAGAATACCTTTCTATAAGCAACATAGTTATCAACAGGGCGGCTATGAATGGCCTTTAAGATGGCATTGCACAGTTTCATCACTCTTTTATCACCTTCCTCCTCTGCCGCGGTCTGGATTTCTTCAACAACAGGCTTAAGAGGATAGATCATAGGTGTATTTCCAGATCCAGTGAAGTGCCTGACTTGCTTGTTCAAAGCACGTAGAAGTACCTTAATACAAGAAGAGGACAACTAAGCAGGAGTGTACATGCAAAAGAAGATACCACTATGTGTGCCTGTGTTGATAGAGTGAGGCTAGCAGAACTTGGAAAGCAAATTCACTAGATATTATACGCATACCTCTTCAATGAATCCATGTTTATCAGCCAATGGCCAATCAGGCTCATCAGGTATGGAGTCTAGTAGAAGGTTATATGTATATGGATCAATGCCATACACTTCTTGCTCCAAGACTTCAGCCCCAAGTAGTTTTCTGGGTTTGTATTCTTTTACCTCAGGGATTTCCAAATCTGGTTCCTCGATACCATTTTTTTGAGCAAGCAGTTTTTCAAAATAGCCATCAGGTAAAGTGACCCGCATTTTCCTCTTCACTTCTTCTTCATCTGCTATAACAAGATATTTGTCAATAACTTCATACTTCCTTGTGACCGGAGGAACTAGACTTGCCTTAGTCATACGAGCGCCCCATTCACGATCATCAATAATTGTATCAAAAGTCTCTTCCATCATAAAATACTCATTCCCTTTAACAGCAACAGTTCCAACAGAAGCATTCAAATCCAAATCACTTTCAGTATCCGAAGCAGTGCTCTCGTCTTCACCTCCATCATCATTTTCAGAAAAATCATTTTCTTGATCATCAGATGTTTCACTGTCAGAATTCATATTTTTTTTCTTCAGTTTAGAAAGGCTCCTTTTGATTTCACGATCAAATTGTCCGGAATCTATTCCTTCATTGGCATAGACAAGGCTATTGCTCTTAGAGGTAAATTTCCTTTCACTGATTACTTTATTTTGAAACTTTCTATGTTTAGACGCTAACAAATACAATCCTGCTTCTGAATCATCTTTTAATATCTTTCCAGATTCATCTCTTTCATTATTCAATCTTGGGTTGTGCTCCAAACTTCTTGCCAATTGGATTAGTAACAAGATAATATGCTTCATTTCTTTACTATCTCCACGATTTTTCGCTCTGCACAATTATTTTAATCATTAAGCAGTATTTTTGGGTAAAATAGATCAAAATGATTATTTTTGCTTGTGGAAAACAAACTAAGCACAAACATTAATCATACCCAAGGCAATTTATATAATAAATCAATAGAAAGCCTTGTGATTTTCAAAGCAATACTGCAAGAAGAGTACCAATAGTCCTAAAAGACGCATAAACAGACAACAGAGAAAAAAGGGTTCTTACTTTAAAGCATCTCGGCATATACGGCTAATGTCATCTTTCAGAGAACTCAAACCATGACGGACATAGTAGCCCCTTCTCATCCTATCCTCAATTTCAGCAACCTAAATGAAAATAAAAAACAAACAAAAACCAAGAATAATACATGCAATAGTATAGCAAAAAAGTTGGACAAGACAAAAATTACAGGAAAGGTTTATACTTTTGGCATGAAAAATTCAGAAGAATTTCCTTTCATAATGTTCTTTAAACTGAACTTTGCGTATTCTTCTAATTTCCTGTATCCAGTCTGTGTTTTCCTACGCATCCAGTGCCTCATTTGTGCATCTCTAGGCACAATTGACGAGGACTTCCGACCATCAAAAAGCTTAGCTCTCTTATAAAAACCAGGTCGAAACACATGACCAGAAGACTCCTTTATGTCCGCCATTGCGGAGTCAAAACTGCTAAAATCCCCTGACTCAAAAGAATCATCCAAATAACTTCTTAATCCTCTATATTCTTTAGAAACAAAATAATTCCTGTCAGTTATCTGTTTAAGGCTTTTCATCTTTGAATGAGAATCCTCATGGTTCTTGGGTAACCAATTTATATTCTGAAACTTAGTTTTCAGCTCATTGAATTGATTGCATCTTTCACTGAAAACAGAAGAAACGCAGGGAAACAGCTGCAGGACTTCCTCAAGTAAGCCAGGACTAATATTCGAGCAACCCGTCAAAACAACAGATGTCAAGTTTTTCTTCTCATAACCATTCTAAAAATAATTAAAAAAAAATGTTAAAATAAATTTCCACAAAGTAAAAGCGACCTTAAAGTGCAGCAGATTAAACTAACCATAATACTTCGAAACATAGAATCTGAACAACTTGCACCAAACGCTGAAACATCAACATGTCTGCAGATATGCTTGTAGAACTTTACTGCTGCATTCCAGCGTTTACAGGTAGCAGCAGAAGAAGCAAGGGCGTTCATGTCAGACCTTAAGAAATGGAAAACCCTAGCCAATATCTGACCATTAAGTAAACCCCAGCTTTCATCATCCTTAGTTGAATTTTTACTGCTATCTTCAGCAAATACAGCTGCACCACACAACTCTTCAAAAGAACTTTCGTTCTTCTGGTCAATTTGATCGTCTTCTGTTTCAGAGAATTCATCGCAATCATCTACACGGAACCGGACTCTTTTTACGGGGCGATCCTCTGCATCAAGTGCTAAAAACCTCAGAATTAATAGTATCAATTGTAAGCACTCTCTTACTAAGTCTCAACAGTTGAGGACAAAAAAAGAAGAAGCACATGAAATTTAGAAGTTAAGAATAACATAAATTGATCAAATATAAATTCCCAGCACACACAAATGCATGAACACCCAAGGAAAGTGAAAACATCTCAAGAGTTAAAAATAGGATAGAACTACAAGAAATTCCTCCATAAAATTTATCCAGACCAACTATAATGAAATGGTTTCAACGAATACATAGCACATTCAACTAACTAATTCATTCTCCAACATACAGAAAGTTGTCCCATGGAATGAGATTAAAATTACTAAAGAAAACAGCAAGCCGAAAACATTAATAAGTAAAGTGTGAAAAACATTATATAAATAAATGTGTGCAGACAAGCAACGCAGATAGATAAATAAACAAAGCATGGATTCAATAGCACACCTGATTTCCAGAGCTTATCTGACGAAAGGTCGTGAACCAAAATAGCAGAATTTTTGCTAATGGACGAATTAAAAGGAAAGTGCCTATCTAATTCCTTCTTTGGTTGCTTCGCACTAATCCAAGGATCCAAAACCTCATTTATAGCAGCAGCAAACTCTCTGTTCTTGTAAGATTTCATGACGAGTTCATGAAGCTTACCACGCATATAGCCTATGAACTGTGGATGTGAGCGGTGAAATGAATCAACAGTATTCTGAATATCACTATTGGTATCCTCAGTTGCCACATTTACTTCCACTCCAGAATCAGTAGCATGGAAATCCACTACATTCCTACTCATTGGAACCCACGTATTGTCAAGCTTCCTGAACACACTAGTATTCTCTAAAATTTTACCTTTGGAGATTAATTCCTTTAATTCTTCAAAGCAAAAAGGACCATGCTCATGACCAGCACCATCCAAATAGTACCATTCACCTAAATTAAGAGAGAGCTCATGAACTGTACAAACATGATCCCTAGGAATATTAAGAACGGTCCTACATTTGTGCAAACTTTGTGAGTCCAATTCACTGGTCCTCCTTGAACGGGAAGGGGTTTCATGAAACAAGATTCTGTCACCGCTTGCTGAATTAGAATACAGTGGTCTAATAGTATGCCGCTCGCTATCTCTTGCTTTGATACGAGGTTCAAATGAATCGTGGTCTTTCACGACACGTGTGTTTATCCTAACCACGGGCTGAATTGCTCCTTTCACTCCCCTAGGAACTAGAGCTTTAACCGGCCCTGATCTGATTGACATACTTTTTGCATCGTTAATTCCATCACTATTATCTTCTGAGAATGAAAAAGCCCAAGTTGGTAAATCAAGCTTCTGGATCCGTGAGGGGTAGTAAAGATCATCACGTCTATACCATCGGGGGTCCTCATGGCCACATTTTGGCATCTCGCATAGAGGGTAGCCATGATTAAGGACAAGCTTCTTTTTGGAACCAGCTTCATCATTTCTCTTCCAGTCACCACCTTTGCAAGACCATCTACCAGCAAACCAATCATCAGAACAACCATTGAGATAGGACTGCTTCTCAAACAACGCACCTGATCTGGTTTCAGCAGTTTCCCTTGATAACCGCTCATTATTTCTACCTATTCCTTCATCCGGTTGATGTGAAATTAGTTCATGACTACGAACCTGGAATCTTGTGAAACCTACACATTGTGCATGGATGCCATTCAGCCAAAAAATATAATAACAACAGCATTACTGAAAGATACATTTAAAGACAATGAAAACCAAACATCAGTAAATCTAATCAATGTAAAAATAAATGACTGAGCGGTATACCTTCAGACTGACTCCAATTCTCCCATTCTACATACTGAAAATTCGCATTCAGAGCCCCTGGAAAAAAAAAAATGAAAGAAAGAAAAATACAAAAATGAGAAAAAAAAGAAACCCGCATATAGACATTATTTAGTTCGAGTAACATTTTGGGTTTGTCGTGAGGAGAAGAAGAAGCATACCTCCAATTGTCTCTAATTCCTTTCCATCAATAACACTGCACCCCTTAAATAGAGCTTCCACTCTATCATCAATATGAAGATCCTCCGTCGTCTCTGACATAAAATTATCATTCAGCTGAGGCTTTTGCAGAGTTGTAGGATCCAAAGGTTCCCCACTTGACTCTCCAGCATCCATTAGCAAATTACCAGGAGCTTCAGGGGGGCTTACCATCCGAGTTACAGTATCTGAAACAATTGAAGGTAAGTACAAAGGAACCAATGGGGAAGAGGCATTTTCAACTGTAACCCAACGATCACTCTCAGAGTGCTTTATTAAATGATCCGAAAGGAGAATCCCTTCTTCAACGAGCTGCTTCAGATCAGCTAATCTAGATGGACCCTGCTCTATACCAAAATGATCCAGATAAAACCACTTTCCAGCACATGTAGCAGGTATTGAAGTAGCATGGGGCGGAGTATCACAAATGTCCATATCTTCTTCCATAGATGATAACGCTTCAGAATAACCATTAATCTCAGGAGGAGGAGGAAGGGGAGGAGGCATTACAGGAGGAGGAGGTGGTGGTGGTAAGGGAGGGGGTGGAGGAAGATCAAGGGGCTCCCTTTCAGTATCCAAAAACATTTTTTTCTTGCTAGAACTATCATTGGCACTTCTATCAGAAGCATAACCGCTTTCATTTGACTTCCTAATTGAGCTACCCCTGCGCATATCTTTCCCACAGCTATCTCTCCATTCCACCGTCTCTTGGTGCCTACTGCTTAGCTGTTTATCACTTTCCCCCTTTTTGCCTAGTTCTCGATGGTCTGCTGCCCTTCTACGATCACGAGGAGATCGCTCTGAGCCTGGAGCACGATCCCTGTGATCACGGTGCCTGGCTCGCTCATGTGGAGACCTGTCTGTATGAGTGGGGGTTTGTTCTTTGTGATAATGGTGAGTACCTTTTTCTCTAGATCGACTGCGAACTGGAGTCCTGTCCCTGTGGTCAACTTGGGACCTAGCAGTATGTCCAGGGCTGCGCCCTTGCCTACGATGGCATGACCTGGATGACACAGATGAGTTGTGAAGTCTAGAAGAAAGCCTGCCAGAAGATGCAACTCTTGAGGAAGAAGATGATGCATTTCCATGGATTCTCTCAGAAAATGAAAATCTGTTAGTCTCCTCTGACTTTCTTTGGGTCTTGGAACGTGAATGACCATTTGATTCTTCATGGTACTTGCGACTACCACAACTTTCAGATTCCTTGCAATGACGTTTTAACCAGTTATCTGAATGGCGCTTCTTATCACGATTCTTCCCATTGCAGAGTTCAACTTTATGCTGCCCCGATTCATTTTCAGCAGCTCGAAAGCTCTTCTTGGAATCCCTCTCATGAGGACATCCAACCCCATCCAAAGAATCTCTTTTCCTTTGGACATCATAATGCCCAGCGTCTTTTTTCCTGTAGCCATTTTCTGGGGATCGTTCTCTGTCAACCTTTCGCCATTTTGAAGAAGTAAACTCTCCTTTTTCCAGTTCTCCTTTCCAACATCTGCCTGAACCAGAATCTGACCTCTCCCCACTTTTCTTCCATCTGTCCACAGTTAACTCGCCCTTCTCTAGGTGCAGTCTGCTTGACCTCTCAGTGAGGCATTCTCCCGTCTGCCCTCTATCAGGAATGAATTCTCCCAGTTCCACGTCACCATTCCGTGACTTCTCTTGAAAAATCCCCTCCTTATCCAATGCCCCTTTCTTCATCATCTCCAAGAAAGATTCATCGTTCTCCAATTCAACATTTCTTGATGATTCCTTCTCGGAACTCCCTTTCCGGTGTCTCTCCGGAACCAACTCACCCTTCTGTTGCTCGCTCTCTTTTGACCACTCGCTCAATTTGCCAACTTTATCTGAACCTAGCTCTGCTCTCCTGAATAGCTCCTCCTCTTTCTCGGATACCTTCATAGTATTCTCCTGCTTGAAAGAATTAGCTAGAAAAGCTCCGTTACTACTGCCACACAATACCTCCGAAGCCGGAAATCTCTCCAATACAAGCTGTGAGGTCGCAACAGAGACTCCTCCATCGCCCATGGAACTCCAACCGGAACCCTAGTCGAGGGCCCGACTAAGACCCACCGTAACAGAACCTTTAATTGTCCACGTCCCCAGGGCTGTCGACGCTCATTCTCCGCTCTCTGAATCTCCAGAAACAAAAACCCTAATTTTCACAAATACGAAACAAAGAGCGCGAATTACATCACCGGCGTGAATCAAAGAAGCTGGAGGCTGCGCAATGTAGGGTTTCGAATTGTAACGAAAGCTATTATGAATGATTCCTAGGGTTTTGGAAACAACGTCTCCGAAATTGCACGAAAAACAAAAAGAAACCGGAGGAGATCAAAAGGGCTCACCGGTCAAGGATCGAGACAGCAGCTTCCAGTAACGAGAGATCCAACTCCAAAACACGTCCTCACTAACGCAACAATGAGAAAACTCTTTTTCTCTAGCTCTCCCTTCTCCTTCTTCCCATTCCTTGCTCCCGCTCTCGCTCTTTCTCGCGCGCGCTCTCTCCCTCTCTCTCTTCGGCAAGAATCGGAGAAGACGATGATGAAGTCTATTCTGTTCTCTCTCATACAAATTGGATTCCGAAATCTATATACCAGAAGAAAGGGTGTTTTTACGAGAATACCGTATTGTTATGCATTGACGATTACCGTCCACACACGAGGGCAATATGGGAAAGTAAATAATCCAGCCAAATATAAGCCGATCAGCTCAATCCTGACAAATGAACGGTTCTGATTCGCATTGATTTTCAACGTTTTGCTGTTCCGTGTACATAACGATCAGCTGATGCTGGCCAGTATCATGGACATATTACCTTATGGAAGTAAAGAAAGGTGTATTTCTGTATTTCGCAGTCTTTAAGATTAGCTAAAGGAGAAAAAACGCCGGGGGCAAAATCGTCAGTGTGGTGCTTACTATATCTATGCTTGCTCAAAGGTTGGGAGATTCGAACGGAAGGCTTGACTTAAAACAATTTCCCTCTTTTGGGAGATTCGCATCCGATCTGAATACCTCTTGGTGGGCGGATATATTACTAAAAGAAGCGAACAACTCGTATGACTCCAAACTAACCCGGGCCGAGCTAATTTGAGCTCGCTCGAGCTCGTGTTTGTATGTCTGAAGTTCGTTCAAGCTCTGCTCGAGCTTGGTTAGAATAGTGTTCGAGCTCAATCTTGATTATGAGAATGTTGTTTGAGCTCAAGCTCAAATCTTTTAGCCTTCAAAAAATTTATAAATGAGCCGTTGGTTTAACAAGACAAGTGGGACTTACTCGAGCCTTAACATAGCCTTAATTGAATAACCTCACATGCTTTTAAATGATAATATTCACAAGGTCCTTAATCAATCTACTACTTATCTAATGAAATTAACCTTATCAAGCCGTTCTCGAGATTTTGATTATACTATTCGTGAAACGAGCAGAACAATACCATGTTCGAGCTTGTTCATTTGACTACCGAGTATTTATAAAAGTGCTCAAGCTTATTTGATAACATAATCAAACAAACATAAACGAGCTCTTATTGAGCGGGCTACAATTAACTTGTCAAACACATGGTTCGTTTGCAGCCCTAGTAACAAGAAAGAGAGAGAGAGAGAGAGAGAGGTCGTTAGCGGGCAAAGATCGAGAGCACAAGAGATGATTTACACGAAGATCTAGTTATCAATGGAGGTGGTGAGCTCGCAACTTGGCATTATTGATGAAAGCCTTCATCAATAAGGGTTGTCATTGTCCCTCTATGTTAATCATAATGGAGTTTAATGTATTTTGGAAAAAAAAAAATACAATTAGGTGATAATAATTATAAGATCCACATAATTATTATAATAAGGAATGTCATCCCACCTGTATTGATCTACTTTGCATTTGTGTAGGCTAATTCATGTCTTGAAGATGAGCGAAGACTTGTACCAATATACCTAGTAATTAACCAACCCAAAGAAAAAAAAGACCTCCATAGCTAACAAAATTATTTGGAAAATAAAATTGACTCTAACATATTAGAGCTATCAAAAAAATGTTCACGTATTCGGCTCATTAAGTAGCTTGTGTTTGAATAATCCATTATGCAAGTCGAACACGAATAAATTTTTTAATCTTAAATTACAAACGAGAGCACGAATAAAAAATTGTTTGATCATGATAAGCTCATTTTAGCTAAGAACAAAACAAATTTATGTCTATTATCCTCTCCTAAATAATAAAATTATTTTATATATCCTCATTACACAAGGATTTCTGGCTCTAAACATCAGTAAAACACAAAGAATCATTACCCATCCCACCATACATTCATCAATTACAGCAGCCATCATAAAATAACTTCATAAGAACGGCACCAGCAGCAAACTTATCAAGTCTCTGTAGTCCATAAATCCACCGTAATATTCTAAAAACAACAGCATCAACAAAACTTCTAATAAAAGCAGTCTCCGTAGTTCTAAAAGTTTAAATTACCTTACATAAATTTTAGAGAGAAAAGAGAGATTTAATCCTAGTAGTTGGCAGCCCTTCCAGACTCATAGTCTGACCGCAGTTCAGGGGAAGGCTCAAACGTCTCACAATTTCTTGCTGAATTGTTTTGAGTGGGGGTATAGCCTGATGCAGGATCTGAGTTCTGAGTAGTGTAATTATTTGTTTGATGTGGAGCCGCGGAAGAATAATTAACAGCTGGTGCAGATTCATAGTGGCTTGCAGGCTGTGTAGTCTGCGACGAATACCATGAGTGCATCGTCGATGAATTCGAAGTCTGCTGAGACATCTCAGATGAATGATTGAATGGAGGCATCGACCCATTTGAATGGTTGAGATAGCTCGACGCATAGCCTGACTGTGACTGCACTGAACCACCATAGCTCTGTGGAGGTTGTGTAGTCTGTGTTTCATAATAGGAATTGCTTAATGGAGGTTGTGTTGCCTGAGGGGAATAGTAAGAGTTCTGTGGCTGCGGCGGAGGTGATGAATAGTTGGATGTGGCAGCTGATGTATAAAATGAGGAAGATTGAGACAATGGTGCTGATCCATAGTTTGATTGCGGCGGCGGCGGCGGTGGCGGGGATGATGCCTGTGATAAATAGTTTGATGTGGCGGCTGATGTATAATATGGGGTAGATTGAGATAATGGTGCTGACCCATAGTTTGATTGCGGCTGTGATGGCGGCGGTGATGATGTCTGTGATGAATAGTTTGATGTGGCAGCTGATGTATAATATGCGTTAGATTGAGAAAATGGCGCAGATCCATAGTTTGATTGTGGCTGTGATGGTTGATCTTGAGAAGGCGGTGGTCTTGGTCGAGCATACTCGGCAAAAATAACCCAACCATCAAGAAACTGTGAATAAAACAATTTCGAAAAATTTATATACATACCACTTAATTATATATATAGTGGTATTTTTTATGTGATATGGAAGAACTGGATGGTATAAAAAAAAAAAGTGAAGTGTAGGTGTTAGATATGTAAATATATATAAGAATTGGGTGATATGTATGTAAATGTACATAAACAATAAATCCAAAGTTTTTTTAGTGCAAAGTAATTTCAATTGGGTTCATTTTATCATTTTAATTGATTTCAAAGAAAATAATAATGAAAAGGCTAATTACTCACCTTCCCATCCATTCCCTTTATGCCTTCAGATGCTTCTTCAATTGAGGCATATCTCACAAAACCAAAACCCTTTGAATATCCCGAAACTCGATCAGTTACAACTTTAGCTGCAAAAGGAAATGTGAAAAGACGAGTAAGATGGCGGCGATGTGCAAAGTTATCTCTTAAGAAGCATACCATGGACAATTTCTCCAAACTTTGAAAAGGCTTCCCTAAGCCCCTCGGAAGTAGTTCGTTTGCTCAGGCCTGCAATTATCTCTTTATCAGAAAGTAAATAGCTGTACTGCAAAAATATTGCTAATTATAAATTTTAAATCATTGCATTTCTGGTTTTTTAGTCAGAGCTGATAATTTGACTAGAAAATGAATGATATATAAAATTAAATCAGATACAACACAAAAGCATGATATTGTTACATTCATGGAGAGTCGTTCTAGAGAAAATTAATCCAAATAGCTTATATATTAGTCGTCATGGATATGCACCTTTACAATTGATCATATGAATGGAGTTCTAACTTATTAAATTTCATTTTATGCCATTGGCAACTTAAAAAATTCCCTAATATATAGACAAACTTTTTTCATGATGTTCTTTTTTCTGAATTTGTATGCCTCACTTTTGAAGTCAAAAAAAAAAAAAAAAAAACAGGATTATTATATACAAACCACCCGAAACATTGATATTTACAAATTAACCACCAATGTTACTTCCCCCCCACCACCAAAAGAAAAAAAATCATGCCATTAATATTTGTGGAACATCTATTACTTCTCTGTCTAAGAATAGTGAGTCTTTATTCAAGCAACCAATAAAATCCAGATTGGATATGAAGAGTAAAACTAGTCAAAGGCCTAAAGGCTAAACTAGAGCTTTTGCTCACTATTACGACTGTCAAAAGAGCTCGTTGTTCGTGAACAGTTCGTGTCCGGCTCGTTAAGATGCCCGCACTTGATTCATTAGCTAAGCAAACAAGCCGAACACGAACGAAGATTTGTTCTTTGGTGTTCGACTCATTTTTGCTCGAAATAATTATATATATATATATATACACACACATATATCGTGAGTTGTATTTTTAAATAACTTAATTGACCACAAGACTACAAAGATGTATAATCAATTAAAATTATTAATTAAAAACATTGAATAAAAATATATTAAATTATATTTAAATGATGTTTTAATATAAAAAATAAGATTTAAATCTCGCCCCAACCCTTGACATCCTACGACTATGTAACTAGAGTTATTAAAATGGTTCTTTGTTAGCTAACAGCACGTGTTCGGCTTGCTAAGCAAACGAGCCAAACACGACCAACTTTTTTGTGTTCAAAATATAAATGAACCGACACAAACAGTGGTATTTTATAACGAGCTGAACACGGGTTGAGCCCGGGCTCGCTCGGGTTCGACTCGTTTACACCCCTACTCACTATTCAATCAACTACTTCTAATTCACCATACCATTTGAAGTTCCCAAAAAGCCTCCACTATGTTGATTATAGTTCATTCTACATCTAGTTAACTCTTTGTATCACGTATTTACACGTACTTAATCTTTATAAAAGTTACATATAACATGGAAAAATAAAATAAACATATATTTATCTATTGTATTTTTAATATATATAGCATGAATGAGTATATTGATAGAAGACATAAAAGTGTGGTTTTATGTAAATAATAAAATGATTTTGAGTTGAGTCACACTAGTTTACATCGACTAACCTATAGTTTGATTTTGAATGAATAAATTCAAGTGAGATTTTTAGTTTCCAAAAAAAATTTTAACCTCAAATTCAACCTCAAACAAAGAACAAACAAGGTTGAACTTTTTTATCAAATCAAAAATTGATTATATAGGCCACAAGTATTGTCATTTATAAGCATCAAATTTTGTAGTTAATTGTCTCTCTTGGGTTGATCTAAATTTAGAAAGTCAGATGTCAATCCAATAATAATAAAACAAAATTAACCACCCTAAACCATCAAGATGCCACATGAAATCAAAGCAAATGAATTTGCAATAATTGCATGATGAGATAGCATATCAGTTACGTAAATAAATGATCTAAGTAAATGAATGAGAAGGCAACTCGCTCTTATAAGCACAATTTCACAGGCATGCTCAAAACTAGCTGAAATAAAAAAATTATAAATAAAAGGAATAACATTAAAATAATTTGCTTAGATCATTTATTCGCTCAATGAACTGCTGAAAATGGACACACAAATTTTCATCACTTTGATCTGCATTTTTCCTCACTATCTTTCCACATTAATCTTCTCAGCCTATCTCATCGGTACATCTTATAAATTAAAATTTTCAAATCAAACCATTAATAATAAAGACCAAGTTTCACAAATACACAAATGTAAACATATATTACATCGAATGCCAGACAATCAATTAGAATGAACGAGAAATCTTAAGACTATTGATGGTGATCTAGAGAAAAACATGATCAGAATGAATACTGAGGATAGTTTATATAAATTTCTGTTTTAAATTTAAATTTGAACTTTCCTATTTTATGGAATTAATATAAGAGATGATAGGATTTCCCTTGAATTGTGTAGTTAGTTTAGGAAGAATAATAGCATTATCAACTTCCTCCAACAAAGGAAGAGACCTAAATTCTTGCATAGAGGCAGATTACAGCAAAGTGCTTGCCATCCAAGAGGAAAACATCAAAATCAGAAAATAAAACTTAGTTGTCCACAACAATTATAAAACTAAAATTCGAAGGGGGAATCTTCTACAGTAAGAAAACAATACTCGAGGTATCTTTATTTCGTTACTAGATAATTAAGATAGCTCCAAAAATTTGTATTCCTTATAACTTCACATTGTGGACTTGCATGTTAGCATTGGGTCACTACCCACACAAAACTGTATTATATTCTTATATCACATTGCGCTCATGCGGCAATTTTGTGCTTCAAAAATTAAACTTTCTAGCCTCTAGAAGCTATGTAACAACTCATTATCACTCGATTTCCTAGAAATATTGTATCACAATTAAAAAATTTCGCACTTAAAAAATTGCAACTATGCAATCAATCTTTATTCTATTAAAATTAAATATCCTTTATCTTCAAAATTACCTAAAAACTCTAAATTTTCACTTAGTTTCAATAAACATCTCACAACTATGCCATCTGCAAATAACATGCGCACATATTCCTTAAACAGTTTTATAACGATTCAAAAAATTTATAAAGATAATGATTATCCATTAAGTACTCCTATTATGAAAAAGAAATTTCTGGATACTCCAAAATGACAAGGCTAGCCAATATTTCACCTAATATTACTTTAATATCTCAAACAAAAAGCATCCATTGAAACATCACATTTAATTATTAATGAGTACTAAAATAATTTGTATGATATGCAATCATATTACATTTTAAAATCAATAAAAAACATAAGACGATCCCTTCATTGCCTTTTGTACTTTCCATTAATTACCATGGCAGAAAAGTTACTTCGATATCAAATTTTCTTAAATGCTATTTGGGTTGAATTAATTGCTGCGTAGAGTAAAAGGAATGTAGGAATTTTGAAAAAATTGACTTCTGGTTGAATAAAAACACATCAAAAATAACTTGTTACTGTATTTGGAATTCATTTTTACTTTCTCTTTGGTGTATTTTCCAAAATCACATAATATTGTTCATGTCTTAATATATACCACATAACTTCCCTACCCACAACTGCTAACGTCCATCATCAATTCTAACATACCATACATCGTTCATCGCTATTATTGAACACCGCTACCCGTCAATCAATTCCACTACCATCCATCGTTGACTACTGCCACCCCATCAGAGAATGCCTCCTACCACTACCATCGTTTTCCATATTCTTAAAATGCATATATTTGAAATGCATTATAACAGAAATAAAAATTAATAATATTTTATTACATCCAACTAAATAACGAGCATTTATAGAAGGCATGTAATTAATTTATATTTTATTTAAAACTCCTTGAATTCCGAATTCACACAGTGCCTTGGCAAAAAAAAATAAATAATAAATAATAAAAAAATAAAAAAATAATTGTTCTCCAATACTAACATAACATTTCTAAGCTTATATTCTATCACACTCCCAATACTATATTACATAACTTTTTACTTCGAACCACTTATAATAACCACAATTTCAAATAACTTTTATTCTCAAATATGAGCACAAGAGTTTTTTAATCATGCGATATTTGTTTGTTTGAAATGATCTATTAAAAAAAATATTTACTAATCAATAATTTAAATCTGAAGATGTATCCCATCAAATAAATAAAACTTAATCTTTATGTATTTTTTCAAATCAGTTTCAAAAAATTTTTAATGATTCTGTTAAATATTCCATAAATATATTAATTATGCTAATTCCAAAAAAATATCTTCCCTCAACACCTTCTCCCATTCCTTATAAGTACTAACCTTACTACATAGATGAACAAACTGACCACCCTCATTGCAAAAGTTATAAAAGTATTTATAAGCCTTAAACATATCAATTATGCCAACCTTTAAATTCATTTTGTTTTCTTAATAACCTCTTTGAACATCACTCCAGCTCTAAATCTCATTATTATAGGTAATCTGTTTCTAGAAGCTTCTAAGATGTTTACCACAATCATCTAATTGCAAATAAACTCGTTTTACAGAAAGTTTGTTTCAGACAAACTTTCAAATTGCCTCTCTAGTTGCATCTTTAAAATTAATTTATCAAATTAAGTTCCACTATATAATCTTAGGGATATTTGGTTTTTTATTGTTTGTGTAAGTACTTCTAAACCAGTGAGCTATTACGCTTTCTTCAAAGGATGGCTGCTTCCAAGCCCACCTCCTGGTTGTTTTATATGTTCATAATAACAACTTAAAAGTGTAATTAAACTTCATCATAAAAGCACTGAACAATCTTTGTAAGAAGATTTTGCAATCCTTCCTAGTAAAAAAAAAATGTTTGCGGTTTGATGGCTATATTTTTAATGAAACAAAGAGCTCTCATATATCTTGTGTTCAATATAATATAAGTTATATGCTACTGCAAAATCAGATATAGTATCTCACATCACATTTCTATTTACCATTCTAAACCCATGATGAATTCTCTCAAAACCATCTTATTGAAATAAATATGATCATTTAAGCCAGTAACTACAATTAGCATATCTTCCTATGGCATATATTATAATAAATTCTGAAGTCTAATCTCTGAATT